GCCCGTCCGGCCGCCCCCCCGCCGGCCGCTACGGCGGCCCGGCAGGGACAATTCCAGAGAGCGGTTCGCCCCGGCCCCTCTCGCGGCCTTCTGGGAAATGTAGTTCCGCCGAGTGGCGGGGCGCCCGGCGAAGGGAGAGGCGGGAAGATGTCCCCGGTCGCCTTTTTCTCCCCCGCGCTGCCATTACGTCGAGGAATGACGTTACAGCGAGTGAGCCTCATCCCCGTGACGTGCCATGCTGGGGTAGAGACTGGCAGTCCGTGGCAGGCGGCAGCTGGCAACGCACCCGCGGGCCCGGTCGGCTGGGCGGGGGTGAGGGAGACCGCGGGGGGCAGCCCCGCCAAGCCATTTAAATGGCTGTGTCACACTCGCAGCCCACCCTGGGGACATAAAAAGGGCGGGTGTCTCGCAGCAGTTCCACAAACTTCAGTCGAGCCCCGCCTTTTCACCCCCGTTTTTTTCTGTTTCAGCCCTGTTCTGAGCAGTGCTCAGTGTCGAAGCACCAAAAACTGAAAATCCAGCCCAAGGCCACAGCGGTTTCTTGAAAATCTTTAGAAATGCTGTAAAGGGGAACGAAACAACATAGTTCAGGAACTACCATGCTGCCTTTTCCGCGAGGAGAGGGAAAACAAGATACTTTGACACTGACAGCAAAGCCCTGGGCTGAGGGCACAAGCTGTCAGCAGCACCGCTCTCCCCTACCTCTCGCAAAGACACAGAAAGACAAAGTTAGGCTTGCTTTCCACGCTACTTACATACTAACACCAGAGCCTTGCTGAAGACAGACAAGCGCTCCACTACAGCAGGCTTTACAGTACGGCTAAGTGCTGGCAGTGCGTGGAAGATGGCGCGTGGCCACTGAGGCTGCTGCGGTAGGGTTGGTGCAGGTGCTGACAACGCGCCCCGCCACCCCTCACCTTGCCCTGGGCACACCAGGAGCACCCCGCTGCTTACTCAAGCAGCGCTTCCTGTTTCCTTCTGGCTGTTCCGAAACTGTAGTCGCCTGCTTCGTAACCCTGCCCTCAGAGATTAGAGCTGTGGCTGGTGGACAGCCTCTTTGCATTTTTAAAGAGGGAAAGACAACTAAGGAAGCTTACAGAGAGCATCAGAGAACAGAGGGGAACAGGAGCAAAAGCACAGAAGAGGGAACGCGCTCTGGGGGACCTCAGCAGGGACCCCGGGGTAGAAAAACAAGGCTCACCCAGAAAGGAAGGAAACGGCAGAGAGAGGAAAGACATGAAGGGGAAATGGAGCAAACGAGCTTCATGAAAAAGCACATTAAAAAGGCCACTGACAAAGACGAAAAGGAGGGTGACAAAGAACAATAAGCATTACGGGCGTTTCAAGTTACTTCATTTTTTTTAATCAAATGAAATTTGATGCCAAAATATTACGTAAAACCACATGGTTATACCTTTAGTATCAGGAGCAAGCAGAGAAGCAAACAAGGACTAAACTGGGGAAGGATGTATACAAATGAAAGTTGTGCATGTTGTATACAGTCACGCAGTATACAAAGAAAAACCTCTCCCTTCTCTATCCCTCTACATCTATCCAGTGCTATTTTCCCTTCCGCTAACTTTTTTCTATTCTTCTGACTTCTTAGTTACGCTTGATTGCTACACTTCCCTCCCCCCTCCCTTTTTCTGAGTTTTCAGACATCATGTAAACTAGAGTCTAACCAAAACATAAAAGTGCTGAGATAAAAATTAAGGTAAATAAAACCTAATTACAGACAAAAAGTTTCTAACAAACATTGAAGTCATTAATTACTACACTATGGGGGGTGGTGGTGTGGTCTAAAACCAGTTATAAAGTTGTTTTCTTAGTTTTACTTGCAAAATTGTGTTCAATTTTGTACTGAAAGAGTTTCCTTAATACTCTCTCTCAAATGCTAAAACAGGTTCAGAACTTCTTCAAAGCAATATAGCTTTGTAGTGCTGGAAACACTTATTAGAAAGTGATATATTTTAATCAATTTAATTCCCACTACACATACAAAGATGAAAAAACTAGTGAAATTACTTTCCTCCTCATGTAGGGCATATTGTTTTTCCTTTTGCATGCATCTTTACTCCTGCAGGACAATGGAACAAGACTTGGAAGTTATCATCTTTATGAAAAAAATATTTGAAAGATTAGAGTATGTACCACTTGTGTCCTCACTTTAGTACTAAAATATTGACTATGAAATAAAAGCTTTTCTGATTTTATGTTAAATATTTTGCACACACCAAATACAATAGGGCACAAGAGCACTGTCTTGTCCTCCATTTTGCATAGGTACTTAAAGGGTTATATAAGGTCTTGTGGGAAAAAAGAGACTAGAGGCAAGTGATTATGCAAAAATAATGATCTGCAAGTATTTCAACCAACTACTAATCATATTCAATTCTATCTACTATCCCTTTGTTATATTTGGGTTGAAGTAGAAGCTTCTGAAATATGCAGTTTTTACAGAGTATCCAGTAAAACATCAGAGATGAAACTCAACATGCCTAGCCAAGGCTTCTAGTTATGTGGCTTCTCTCTATAAAGCAAAATGTATAGAAAGATGCCTATAGAAGCCCATAAATTCAACAGCACTGTCAAAAAATTCATGTCAGTCAGTCTTGTATACACAAGAAAATACATAGTTCTGCACATCTGCCAATGGGAGGAGTGAGGCCCGGCAGCAGACATTGGGAGTCACTGGCTCTGCGCTGGAAGGTTAGCACAGCACTTGAGCTCTAAGCTCCAAAATCTGCAGATCACACTCACTCAGATGTGAGAGGAGCTATGTGCTTTTCAAGAAAGAAAAGCCTGGTAGGAAAAGGAAAAACTGGAGGAGCCTGGCTCTCACTTGTGTTCTGCTCCCTTAGTCAGTACAGGTGCAAAGCACTCAAGTAATTCGGCTCTCCAAATTTTATCAAGGACTACAGGTAAGATATACCTACTGAGACTAAAATCTTGCAGGAAGTTTAAATACCTAAGAGTCTGGACAAAGAGCAGAGCACTGAATCATCATATTCAGCCAGCGTCTGGCAGAATAGGAAGACTCCTCACACACAGTGCCTTACAAGGGCCAAAATCTACACCTACACAAATACAGACAGCAGGCAGCTCTCTTTATAAACTCAATTTCTAATGCATTCTTTAAAATTTATCTTAGAAGAGATAGGGGATTAGATTCTTTGCATCCTTTATTAATTTTCAAGCATGGAAACGGATCTGAAAGAAATATACACCACATAAATAAGGACAACTTATTAAGACAGCATGCTTGATCGTTCACCTTGAGAAAGGCTGAAAATTTTCAATTGCTTTTTTCATGCAAGCTGAAATGATCTACAATGTCTGACAATCCCCTTCCCTACTTTGTTTTTAAAAGGAAAAAGTGCATACTTCTACACATGAAATTCCCCATGTACATGGTAAGTACTTGGTAACACTCCCTTCTTCCCTCCATCCCCACTGTGTTGGTTGTGTTGACACAATGGTACGATAACAATCACCAGATTTCAAAAACCAGTCAAAGGTTTGGGGTAGCTTTTAAAAATAAATAAAACTATTTAGTCAGATAGAGAATAGGGGTTTTTTTGGTGGATAATTTATAACACAAATTCATAAATATGATCACATTCAATTTCCTAAAAATCTATACAAGTAACACCACTTCCCTTGTAATGCATGGATTTCAAGTAATTACACGAAGCTCTATTAGACAGCCTTTCACATACAAATTACACAAAATTACAGACATATATGCAGTAACACAACGGGGGTAATGTAATGCTTCTGGCTACTTAATGGTCCAAAAATAATAAAAGTAATTCAAAAAAAGCTAGTTTTCAGTTTAATTGTTGGGGTGGAATGTACTGTGGGTGGTGGTTGCCTAGCAGCTGCTTTTGCTTTGCTGGCCTGACTTGCTCGGACTGCAGTTTCTAGACGCGTTTTTAATTCAGGAGCAGCTCCCATTACTGTCTTGAAAGCATGTGGGTAAAGTGGACCAATGTGCATTAGATTCTGAAGTGCAAATTCATGAAGATCCTTAGATGCTGTAGATGCAGAAGCAAAGGCATTTTCATTCAGTAAATAGGAAATCAGAGTGGGAACGAGAAGGGCAAGCAACTGTACTCCTAAAAGTAAAAGGAAAAAAAAAAAGTAATTTAATAACCGTATCAGAGAAGAAAACAAAAGAAAATTAATTTTATCAGTTATTAGACTGATAGAAGTAATTTTGTTTTCAGTATTGACAATAAACACTGTAATTAAAAAATGAACAAATAAAATCCCAACTGATATGTAGATGGTTTCCTGTCCTTTGGTCACTCAAATCTTTCTTACCAGGATTGTGTTTCAGACTTGTACTGTTGTTCATCACAGTTATTTTGTTCCTGACACTTCTTTAAAGATGCCTTTGCACCATCTGATTGCAGATGATTGATAAAAGATCATAAGACGTAGAGTGCCTATCATATTAAAGGATTCCAAGAGCACTTTTCAGGCAGACAGAAATATTAATTCAATTGAATCTGAATATCAGCCTCTGCAGTGAGCATAACAGAACCACTATTACTATGCAAGTGTTCACAAAAAAGTTAGGGACAGTTATCTGCTATCCTACGCCATTCTGGAAGATTCCAATCCAAAAACTAGCACCGCAGCTATACTTGGGCTAGCACAGCCTAATGAGGCCACAGCCCCAAATGGTGCAGGGATCAAAACGGTTTATCTTTAGAACAAAAAGGCAGCTGAACTTAAGCAATAGGCCTACTTTTTTTATCTAGCAAGGATACAAGTATGCCTTTGAAATGTGTAACATGTTAATTGTAAAATTTAAGCTCAAAGAAACATTAATGGTAACTCATGTGTCGAAAATTTTGTAGGTTATCAGAGTATTAATGACTTTCCCCTAAAGGTTTTGACTAAATTCATGTCTCCAGCCAGCATCAGCAAAAATCAGATGGTTTGTTTCCTCATTCGCTTCAGTTACTCTCTCATTTTACATGTGTTTCAAACAACTGTGCCAGAAGTAGAATGGGGCTCAAGAAAACATACATTTAGTGTTTGGTCATTAATGAAGAGAAATACCAACAGGGAGTATGCTGGGAGGAAAAAAAAAAAAAACCCAAACCCACACTAAAACAACAGTAATATTTTTACAAGGAACTTCATCAGCATTTAAAGCCAAATGCCTGCTGAGCAAATCTTTAGAAAACATGTTGTTCAGTTAGAGAATAACTGAATTTAAAGATTAAGTATAAATACTGTATTCTATCTACTGAAGCAAACAGAAGGCTCCATCTACAATCAAGATATTCTGACCAGTACAATTCAATTTCCTGGGCTTTTTAGATAAACTTTGTTGAGCTGGTAGAAGCAACCTGATAAAAGTGATGAGTCTGCTAAAATAAATAAAAGTTAACAATGGGAAAAAGGGAAAAAGTAAATATAAACGGTGTTAACTACTCATTTCCAAACAGAAGAAAACTTCTCTCATTACTGCAGTTCATGTTTAGAATTTTTTTTCCTGCAATCACCACAAATGCAAAGGCTACAGCACATCATAGTGTATGTGCTATGCAAGTCCATGTATCTAAGAGTTCTAGTACTGGAATTACAAAAGCATGTTGCATAGACATGGTCTATTTGTGACTATGTCATCAAGTTTCTAACTGCAAGATTGCTACTGTTCAATATTCTATTTTAGCATTACATGTTTCTCTAGAAAAGCTAAATACTTACTATTCTGCTCCTCACCAAGGGCAACCAACGTTTCAAGGACTTTAATTCCTTCCTGGACTGCTAACAGCTCCAGGTTGTTGTTTGGGCGGCTCCTTTCCACAGCTTTCAACTTCTCAACCATGATAGGGGCCAATGAATGAATATATGGAGTTGACAGGGCACGATTGGTGTGTTGGAACACAGAAAGCAGAAGCTGGTAACACTTGGCTTGAACCTAATCAAATCAAGATAAATACATTGTCCTGAAAGTTATTTGTTAACTCAGGGAATTCTAATAAACTCTGTTATCTATGTATGTGAGAGACGTGATGCAAAAAAAAAAAAAAAAAAAAAAGACGACTAAAGGGGAAGGAAACATACTGAATAAGAGGAAAGCAGCAACACAGCCCATCTGCTAAAACAATATCAGCCCGGTTTTCAATAAAAGGAAGGCCAGTTAGAAAGAATGTGCAGGTACTAAGTAGCAGTAACAATATGAACTCAGTGAAAATAAAGGAATAGTTAATGTCATACAAGTCAGTCACACAGGTCCACAGAGAACTACATCTTTAAGTCTCAGAACCACCAGCACTAATAGTACATGTATCTGCAAAATCATGAAATGCTATTCCAGTCTCAGAAGAGTAAAACAGCCCATAAAAATGACTCAGATCAAAGTGATCTTATTGCTCTAACATAAGCCAAGACTACAGCCAAAAGTGGCAGGCCTGTCCATCCTTCCTTCTCATTCTCCATCTTGTGCTGGTGGTAGCATAGGAGTATACATGTAGCCATACAGTGAGCTGGATCACAGAACCCTCTCCTTGTCTTCTGCTATTTTCTTTTTCCGTCCTCCCTCTTTTCTCTGGAAAGCAGGGATTATTTAAGTCAACATGTGGGAAAATGACTCACTGATGATCTTGTTTAGATGAACTTATGAATGCATTTTATTTGGGTGTACAAAGATCTTCCTCCAAAATCCCACACAAATAACCCAGAACTTTTGAAAAGGTAAAGCCCCACAACAAATATGAGGATAAAACACTGCACATGGTTTCAAACTGCACTCAAGTCTGAACAGGATGAGTTACTAAGCACATGCTGAACAGAAACATTCTAGAGGAAGTATTATTGAACACAATGATATGTGAAGAGATCCGGGGATGACTGGAAACAGATATATAAATAAAAATATTGAATAAAAATGATAGATAATAAAAACTAATTGTAAGAAAATACAAGTTATGCAGCTCAGGTCACTGTTAATTCACTAGTATACGGCTGCAAGTTTTCTATACAATTAGATTTTTAAGGCCTGAAGTAATAATACTTCTTCTAATACCATCTGTATGCTTTCTAACAGAGCTCCACGGAAGAACATTTTCTCCTAATGCCTTACTCAGCATCATCTTTGACCTGTTTCAACAAATCATTCCTCTCTCTCTCCATACCACTCCAAATAATTCCCTTCCCTTCCCTTTCTGTCTACATTCTTTAAACTTTACTCCTTATTAGCTGTTAGACTATCTGCCTTCAAAATAAGGAGTACAAGTCTCTTTTCTTACATGCACGCATAATTCAAATAAGAGTTTTACAATGTCGTGGTTTAACCCCAGCCAGCAACTAAGCACCACGCAGCCACTCACTCACTCCCCCCCCATCCAGTGGGATGGGGGAGAAAATCAGGAAAAGAAGTAAAACTCCTGGGTTGAGATAAGAACGGTTTAATAGAACAGAAAAGAAGAAACTAATAATGATAATGATAACACTAATAAAATGACAACAGTAGTAATAAAAGGATTGGAATATACAAATGATGTGCAGGGCAATTGCTCACCACCCACCCACCGACACCCAGTTAGTCCCCGAGCGGCGAATCCCTGCCCCCCACTTCCCAGTTCCTAAACTAGATGGGACGTCACATGGTATGGAATACACTGTTGGCCAGTTTGGGTCAGGTGACCTGGCTGGGCATGAGAAGCTGAAAAATCCTTGACTATAGTCTAAACACTACTGAGCAACAACTGAAAACATCAGTGTTACCAACATTCTTCACATACTGAACTCAAAACATAGCACTGTACCAGCTACTAGGAAGACAGTTAACTCTATCCCAGCTGAAACCAGGACATACAACTGCATCTGACAGAAGCTTGGATGAAATTCTGCTTTTAATCGATCTATATCACATAACACTTTTGACTATTCCACATTCACAGGAGTCTACAAAAACTCCAGTGAGGTAAAAATCAGGGCTTCTTCACTCTCATGTAAAACTTACCCATTAATCACTGGAGACAAGGGTGTCTTAACTAAGTTCCCTTGTTGGGGCAAAATGAAATTGAGCTCACCAGCCTTCTCGTTATTACTATACAAGACATCCAACAATTCAGACTTTTGCAGGTGGATCAGTATAATGCTTTTACTACAAACAGGTGTCTAGTTACTGACCCCAACAACGAGTGGTTTGTATTTAAAAAACTAGAACAAACACACAAATATTACAGAGTATATGTTCTGCACATCAACAAGGACAGTGGACACAATCTGGCTGCTGTGAAAGCATTCTCTTATGAATTACAAAAATAGTGGTAAGTTCAGCTCACTGACAGCTTTCCAGCAGGGTGGTGGGCAAAGATGTACTTCTCTCACTGTTATGTGTTTATATGGAGCTGAGAGAGAGCATGACATAAAAGTTTCTGCTTAATACGACTGCCATCTCCATTCACACACTAAAATTTTAAGTAGCTTTCCACCCAAAGTCAGACTTCAGAACCAACTGAATTTTATGTCCACGCTGGAAAACACCAGCCCTGCTGCAGAGCAGAATTATCAGTCTAAACAGGATTTTAAATGCCTCACTGTGACCCTAAACACATCAGCATTTTTTGCGTGTTTTTCTTCTCAGGAATCTCTGTAATGCTTGCTTGTGGAAACTCTATAGATTTTTCTTTTTAGTTTCCACATGCAGATTTGTATACCCACTCAAACAAACTGATGTGTATGTGGCTGGAACAGTTAAGCTTAACTATACAGTGCATTTAGCCTGTTTGAACAAAGTCAGTCTACAACTTTTTAGTTTCCCTCTTTAGTGAGAAAATAATTTAGAAGATAATTCTAAAGATAAAGACAAACCAAAAGGGCAAAAGTGAAATCAGGAGACAGATGACTCATAATCTACAGATATTCCAATGGTGACCACAAAATTACATTTTTGCACTCAAACTAAGTTTTGTATGAACATATAGAATAAGCACAGGTTTTGCACAAACAAATATAAAATTCATCAGAAATGTGGGCTGTAATTTTATCTACAGAAAAAGTGGTTTAGTTTGTATTATAAAAGATCGGCATTAATGTAGAAATGTCACCACTCTATAGTAACCAACCTTTTCATTTACTAAAATTTCACATATCAAAGATTCTTTTCCTTTTAAAAAGCTGCAAGTCAAGAACCTGACACAAGGCTGTGAACACACATTATCTAGAAGCACTTAGTTTGGGTTGTTTTGCTCACTAAAGAGTTTCTATAATGCACTGTTGAAAATTCTAGTTATTTTGACAAGCGGTATCTGTCTCTGAAGTAAAGGCATCACACAAAGCATTCAGGAAGTATGGTAAATATATCACAATTAGTTTGTTTTTCTCAGCTATATATTATTCACATTCCTATAACATAATCTTACCCAAGGATCACAGGAATTTAATGCACTTTTAAATCTGTTCATACATCCATTTTGTAAAGACTGCACTCCAATTATTTCAGTGCTTGCTGACCAAAGGAAGAGAGCAATAGCTGTAAGTATGCTTACTTCATCAAGAATAGGCTTAGAGGCTTCTGAAAAACAAAACCAAACACGCTGTTAGCTTACTCCAAAAAGGGTTTAGAATTTATTTAGTAAAAGCCAGTGAACACAGACACACTCAGAGAGGAAATAAACGTACTTGAAATTATTTGCAACTGCATACAAATATGCATCTACTTATTACAGAATCACTTTATCATTATTGACTGTGACTGACAAAAAGCTGAGCAACTCTATTCTAATACTTGTTTTAATAAAGTAAGTCAAACTTTCTGAAGCTTAAATAACAAGGAAAAAACATCACCCACACTTTCTCTGACCAAGTCATATTGTTTGTTTTCAATATGTAAACAAAAGAGGAAAAATATATTTTTTAGATCCTTTCCCCATTAAAAATATACCTCACTTTTTTTTTTTGTCCTCTTCAGCTGATACAGCAGACTAAGAAACTGATATCCAGCATGGCAACAACTTTTACTTAACATGAGGTTTCACATAACAGACTAGCTGTTCTGACAGCTACCTGTCACCAATAAGAACAGTCCTACTTTAACCTTTCCTGCTTTTCAAATAGTCTGTATTTGCCATGGTCATCCTCTTTTTCCTTGAACAAACTCTGTCTTCATGGATCTCATTCATGAATTTACATCAACAGGAAAAAAAGAATTATATTTACATATAGTTATTATAATACATATACTGTTCTGCTGGTTTTGTTGTCCAGATTGGTTCTGCTCTCCCTTGAGAGGCACAAAAAACCAGCAGATACGTAGGCAGCAAAACCAGCATAACTGCCCTTTACAGGTGTCAGCTAGTTCACTCCATTGGCTTAGCCATGGTGTGAAACCTCACTTCAAAAAAATTACTCCAAGCATTTTAAGTGACAAATTTAGGAAAAAAAAAAATTTAGATTTGTTTAAATTTTATGGAATTATAAGACTTGAAACTGCGTGCAGTAGACCTTGCTTAGATTCTTGTGTGTGTGATGTGTCCCACTCCACAGAAGACTGGAAAACATACACTCTTGCAAAGAACCAGGAAAGATTTCTGAAGCCTGTAAGAAAGCCAGTAATGTTTCTGGAGAGAGGGACTGGGGAAATCTTTACAGTAACAAAAGGCTGAAAGACAAGAGCTGATGTGACAAATCAAATTAGAAGTTTGACTTGGTTAACACAAATCTACTGATCCTTCCCCTTCAGACATTTTCAGGATCATTTGCAATTACCTACTTGCTCCCTATCTCTCACATGAGTAACTCCATTCAAGCCTCTCTTCAGTCTCTACAAATGGTTCCTTGGGGATGTAATGGGATGTTTTTGGCTGAACTACCATTATGCAAATGACAAATCTTTGTGTCTCTCTTTTGCTAACTACGCAGCTGAGACCATACATCCTCTTTAATTTTCGATGGGCAAGGCAAAGTACAAATGTGAACCAAGAGAAGTAGTCTGCAGTTCTCTAGAGAGACATGGTAGACATCCTGCTGGTGGGTAACAGATTTTTTTGGCAGCAGTAGGATTTTTTCTCTCCACTGAAAGGTTGTAACGGTACTGTGAATATCCTACTCCAGTATGAACCTTGCCACAATTATCCCTTACTGTCTTCACACTCATTCACTTTAACAGTCACTGTCATAAAGACCATATGAATCGTGTCAGTGGACACTTAAAAGACACAGATTGCCATTTTTCTTGAGGTTTAATTCAAGGTGTTGAGTCCACGTACAGTACTGAACAACTAGCTTCAGTAAAGAGATCAGTTCCCCTACAAACAGTTTTGGCAACTAAAATCTCCTTTCCTTTAAGCTAGCAGGTATTCTGTGGAAAGAGGAAAGGAGGGGTGGAAATGATAGTTTGCTCAGGCCTTGCCAACATGTCCAGAGTTGCCAGTAGTCAGAGAAATTGAGGCACAGTCCGGGAAGTGAAATGAATGCAGCTTGGAACTCCTTTAGATTTTACTTGTGAGACATTCAGCAGACGTCAGAAAGACCTATCAATATCACAAGGTAGATTTCCAAGTTCCAGAAACAAGCCACTAGCTGAAACTATGAAGACTAGTAAGGTCAGCCTGAGGAAAAGAGCTAGAAATAATAGAGCATGAAATAATCGCATCATAATGGGATTCAAAATGGAAGAGGAAATTCTGAAGTAGTACAGAAAAATACCCTAGAGAATGGAGGTGAGAGATGCGGGGCTGCAAGATGAGTTGCAAGGCAAAATTTCTAACAGGAAGTTATCATCAATATTGTCAAAGAAAACAGACCAACAAGGACAAATCTGGGATGGGAACTCCTGAGATGTAACTGTATTTTCTTAAAGCCAATGCTGTGCTTGTCTTCAACACAATCTATTAAGTAACTCTGATTAGTTATGCTCTGTGCATTCAAGTCTTTCTCCCATTTCAATTTTACAAGCAAATCATCACCACCTTTAATCTCCAACCTTCAGACACGAAGCCTATTAAATTATAGGCAGATACAATACTTGCCTTTTTGTTACAGCAAAACCCAGTTCACTTTAATTTAACTCTTCTGCACTGGGAAACCACTTACCAGGTTGAGAGTATTCCAAGATAGATGCCAGGGTGCTGCGGATAAGACCTGTCCACTGTTTCTGAGTTTCATCAGTCTTGACTGTTGGAAGGGTAACAATAGTTTTTATCCCTTGAAGGGCTGCACTGACTGGAGGTGGGACCTGATTATCTGCTGATTTTACTGCTGTTTCTTTCAATACTCTTGTAATAAGAAATAGGATAGTGGGTAAGATTGTCATACATCCTAAAAAAAAAGACAAAATAGAATTTCTGAAGTTAATTCCAACAAGTGTGGTAGATAACCTCTTTAGCTTTCCCAGTATGGATATATATGGCTAGGAGACAAAGGAGACACCAAGATAAACTGCAATTCAGGTAACAAATGATGCATGCCATTCAATATTTTATCATCAAATTCATTCATCAGTACTACTGAAGTGTATCGTAACACAAGTCATACAAGCCAACACTTAAAACGTTCCTGTCAATTCAAGAATGATGATTCAGCTATTAAAGTTTTGCCCTACATGGCATGTATCATATTGAACACCTCCAGATTGTTAAATATCTTAAAACAGGATCTGCATATTGCTAGGGTCCTATAAAGTAAACAACCACAATAAGAAATCTGAAACAGGTATCCAAACCAAGTCATGGCACTTTCCAAGGAAGCTGGTGTGTGGTGTAAGCCCCAGAAGCAAAGTAAGGAGGTTATCTGGGTGTCTCACATCCTGGGCAAAAGCTGCAGCCATCTGGCTACTCTACAAAGGAGACAAAACTATCCTCCTCCTACTGCACTGCCCTTCTGAAGAAATCAACGCCTATATATGTTTTGTGCAGCAAGCCCTACAGATGCAAGTTAGGCATACTCAAGAAATATTTGTCAGGTAACACATAACCTGACTTTAGACACATGGGAACTTTATTAGAAGGAGTTTCAGTAACACATGTAGACCTTAAGACCCTGTAGGACTAAAAGAAGGGTGCTATTGGGTTTAGGCATGTAATATCAATCTACAGCTCACTTCAGACTGTCAAGTCTCTTTCCATATCTTTTCTATGCCTCATGTTCCCACATCTGTGGAAACACAAATCCTGCCATTTCCTTACTTCTGGGAATGCTGTGAGGATGAATACACTAAGTAGAATAATTACGACTGGAAGGCACTGCTGGAGGTCATCTAGTCCTACCCCCTTTTTCAAAGCAGCAGTTCCTCTAGATCAGATTGCCCAGGATCTTGTCCAATGGAGTCTGCAAGATGCTCATGTTTTAAAGAAAGAGGAGGAAATATAAAAAACCCTCTCAATCACAGAAAGTGATGAATTCTCTTTGTTCACAGTTTCCGTTACACGCAATGGCTCAATTAACACAAACATTTGTGCATGTACTATCCCCCTCTCTCTACAGCTATCAGCTGGCTACATCTTCTGGATGAGGAAAAAACCCAACTCTAGCAGTCCCTGTAAACTAACAATAGTTTCTGAGATACTTTCGCTGGCCACTTGCCAATTGCTGGGAGTTACGCCTTCACTCCAGTCAACACAGTAGTAGTACTGTTACTCTTTCTGCACACCCTCTCCCTACACTGCTGCCCTCCTCCCTCTCCACCCCACCCCACCCCAGAAACGGGGAGAAAAGAACAAGAACCAGGAATCAAAACCAGTGCAGGACTCCAGATCAGCTCAAAATCTACTATTTTTTAAAGAACTGTAAGTCACAAATTGTCTGTTTGAAGACTTTATCCAAGTATGTTATTTAGCATGCATCTCATTAAGGGACCAGCCTGCATCTCATTAAGGGACCAACCTCCAAAATGTCTTATCTACATCGGTGTGTGAAACTTCCCAGAGATCCATGAGACAACTCTTAAGCAATTTGTTCTCTGAAAAGCAAAACTCAAAGAGCACAGCTTCCCATGCAATTGTGTCCTTTACCCCTGAATTCCACTCACTGCAATTACCCCAGTTTACACATATCCTTTGTGACAGTCTCCCTGGGCAGAAGAAAGCTCCATTTAGTTTGGAGTCACATTTGGGATGACTGACAGCCAACGGCTGCAAAACCAAGAGTATCACAGCTGAATTGTGCTGGTTTTTCCTCAGCAGGATTCTCTTTTCATCCAGCTGCTGCTTTTCATGAGCGTCTCAGGAATTTAATTATCTCCAAGATGTCTATGCTCTTTTACAATATGATTAAAATTGGCCAAAAGGTTTCAAAATCATGAAAAAAGGAACAGAAAAAAACAACAATAAAATCATGGTGATAATATAGCTCATTTCCTCAGCAAACTTGCAGCACACATGCAAATTTAAAATCATAATTTCCTTTACATTGCTTGCTGGAAAAACCCGAATTCTTAATTTATTTTAGAACCTAAACATACTTTTCAATAGATGACCCTTAAAGTATCCCATAAAAATATATTTACAGTTTGGTTTTAGCATCATATGATCACTACGCTTCCCCTACAGTAACCACTTACGTGTATTTTATTACAATAACTTACCTGCTGGGGAACACAGAGAAGGCAGGTCAGACAGTATAGTAACAGTGGCAGCCACAAGACGAGCACTTTCCTCAGAAAGGTGGGATTTGGCAGCAATGTGACTTGGAGAATCTGACACTTTTGAACTCAGATGGGGCATGTGCCGTACTAGGATAAACATGAGCAATTCCATGGCTGCAAAGACTAGAGATTTTCCAGGCACAAGACCACCACTCTCACCCCCTTCTCCTAAAGCAAGATGATTTTCTTTTTCCTCAATATCATCTTCATCTGAAAAAAGGAAAGAAACATCTGAGGAGACAGTTAAGAAAGATCCCCTACCAAAGACTGCATGAAACACTCAAAAAACCCACAACTTAAAAATCAAGAAGAACAAGTTCTTTCACAGTAAGATATGACAAACATGGCTCATGTCAAACTAAATGTTTTAGCTAGAATTACGTAAAGGGGCTTAAAATACTTTAGAAGTACTGTGATTACAACAACACTTACTAAAAATCCAACCAGAGCTAGAAAAAAAAGTAGTAATACTTACACAAAATAAAAATGCTGTAATTATTTTGCTTCTTTTAAAACTGATTGTAAAAGTAACAGCAATGACTACAAAATAAATAGGCATAACAATATTTTTTAATTTAATGGCTATCAATTAAATGTTCCACCCTGACAAAAAACTTATTTCAGCCTAAATTGATTATGAAATAAGAGAACAGAAAAGCATTGTAGGATTCTATGTCTGAGTTCATGATTTCAGTGCATTCAGTTCAAAAAGTCTCTCTTTTGAATGGCAGCTTGGCCAGCTGCAGTCTTTCCTTCTCTCATTAAACAGCAACAGAGATTCAGTAAGTCAAAGCTGGCCTGAACTACCCCTATGGAGCTCCTATGAATTTAAATGATTGCTAGTGTTATCACATTCACTGATTTGAAAAATGCAACTTACTAGGCCTACAGTAAACAATTCCATTAATTCACATGAAGGAACAGAGCTTGCATTTTTAGCTGTGCTGGTTCCTCAAGTTCCAGCAAAATCCTCTCTCTGTTTTTATGTGAAAAATGGGCAAAAGCTAACAGGTTGGTTTTTTTCTCAGCAGTATATTGTGCCAGACTAAGATGGTAGTTTTCCTTAGTAAGGGAATATTCTTTGACTTTTACTTTACTTCTTTCAGGTAAAAAAAAAACATGGGAGACTTAAGCTAACCAGACATCAATGAACTATTTGCCAGGTTGCCATATGGAAAGTAATTTACCTGGCAAAGATGGAAACAGTACATCCAATGCAAGATTTTTGAAGAAATGGTAAAGGGATGATTGAAAAGGAAGATGCTCTGTTAAAAGGAAGAGGTTACTGAAAGTACCTCAGAAAGTAGCTTTCAGACTGATGCTAATACCGTTATCAAGGATATTCTTACATAAAGTAGAAATAAACTAACAGAATATACTGATGAAAAGCCTAAGCAAAACATCATGTTGCAACCAGCTGTCAGTTAGACTTGAATCACCGAACTCCATTCAAGCACAACAGTCCAACCAGTTATTCTCCTACTTTTCAGTCCACTTATCTCCAATTTGACAATGATACTATGGGGTACTGGGTCAAAAGCCTTGCAAAAGTCAAGGTGAACAACCCATGACTCCTTCATCCAAAGCCAGTTATTTCATCACAGAGGGCAATTAGGCATTATTTGTCCTTGGTAAGTCTGTGCTCACTTTTCAAATCGCATTCTTCAACTTCATGTACTCAGAAGTCCTTTCCAAGGGAATTTACTCCAAAATCTTTCAAACACACACAGTACGCTTACTGGCACATAGTATCACAAAACCTGCCTCATGTCTTTACTTACTGGAAATTAGACATAGCATCTACTTTTTGCCATTGATTGGAAAGCTTCCTTGAGCACCACAGCTTTTCAAAGATGACTGCAACAGCATGTCATCAGCCAGCTCCCTCAGATGCATCCCATCCAGTCCCAGGGTATGTCCAGCTTTTACCTAAGCAGTCCCTAACCTGATGCTCATCTACTGTAGGTAGCAGTTCTCTCCCCTAAACTTGCTCACTAGACACAGAGACACAGGAGGACTAAGCAAAGAAGATAATAGTGCCCCAGTTTTTCCCCTAACATGTTTTGTCATTAGATCACCCAACCCATTCAGCAGCAGGTCCAAATTTCCTTGGTCTTTTTGCTGCCAACTTATCTATGAAAGCCCTTCTTGTCACACTTGACTTTCATCACCAGTCTCAGCTCCAGCCAAATTGTGGCTTTCCTAATTCCACTCCTCTGTATCTGAGCAGAAATCTTCAGTAGTCTTCCTGGGCAGTTTGCCCCCACTTCCACCATCCATACACTTCCTTGTCACACTTGAGCTCGGTCAGAAGTTCCTGCTCAGCCAAGTCAGCCTCCTGCCATGCCTGTTTGGCATCCTGCACTTTTGGATGAGCTATTTTTTTTCACCAAAGATGAACCATCTCCTTCCTTTGCCCTTCTGGGAAGCTGAGCACAAGATCTTGTCTGCAAGCTCCTTGCACAAGCCCAAGTCTGTTAAGTCAGGCCAAAGCTTTTGCTCTGCTACTTGTTTTCTTCATTTCTCTCAGGATCAAGAACTCCACTACCTCATGGCTGCTACGGCCACAGCTACCATTAACCTTCATAACCATTTCTTCCATATTAGTGAGGAGCAGATCCACTGAGCACCTCCCTTATTTGGACTGTCCAGCATCCAGACTGAAAAAACCTGTGCCTCATACGCTTCTGAAAGCTTCGGATTGTTAGCATCCTGCAGCGTTGCCCTTCCAGCACATGTCTGGATGGTGAAAGTCTCCCATGAGAATCCCACAGCTCGTGATTGGAAGGCTTCTTCCAGTTGGTTTAATATGGCTTCACCCACCTCCTCTTCTCAATTAGGCAGTCTGTGGCAAACAAGAAGAGAGTTCCTGACCGCTATCACCCTTCACTTGCCCTTAGGGGTATCAGTTCTGACCTGTCAAAGAAGGACGGGTTGCCCAGATACCTACCCTGACAGCTTGTTCCTCTTCACCTCTTGCCAGATCTCTATAGTGTTCTCCAATGGGATATCTGGAGATAAAGCTTTTTGTTGCTGGAAGTCACAACCTTGCAGCCTCCACCTTTGTGCAAGAATCATCCTCCAGGGCTGTATTCCAGCATAGCCTATGGCTGTCCCTCCTTGTGACACATGGGGCTTGGGCTTCTGCACCTGCAGGATGTCTGGGAAGAACACGTCATTCTTCCATTTGCCTTTCCTGACACTACACAGTCTGCTCACCTTCACATGCATTTCCTTCAGATCTCACAGGTGAGACCAATGTCACTTCCAGCCCTCGCTGCACAGACAAGTACCTGGAGGACAGTCACATCAGGGCTTTCATCTGAATTTCAAGCCAGGTCATTAGACCTCTGATGCACCAGAGGTGATTGTTCCTCAGTCAGCAGACTGTGTCTTGCTGTATGTCACTGCCATCATTAACGCTGACTCTAGCAGTCTTGTACAGTCTCGAGCAGCACTTCTAGGCTGTGTGAGCATGCCTTTCCACACCAACAGCCTTGCTCCTGTTTGCACACCCTGTTCCCAGAGCTCCTGGAAGCTGACACACCCTGAACGTCAGTGACGTAAGAACCCAGACACAAGTCTGCTCCACTTCCTGGCAAGTTCTCCCGGGCAGGCAACTTTTGACACTGGTTCCAGTAGCATCTCACTCACCGCATGAATTCCAGTTGTGCCAGGGACACACCACAAGAGCCTACATTGGGGGCTGAACCGTTAAACTTCAGAAAAAAAGGTAACTGAAGTGCTAATGAGGCAGTCAATAGAGAAAAATTAATGAAACTGAGCAAGGCATTAGTAAGACCTTAAGTAGTGTGCTGAGTATAATTTTCATCATTCATATTTGAGAAAAATCAGTGAAAACCATAACATGAAAAGAATAACCACTAGAATGATCAGAGGAAAAAAACCTATATCTTAGAAGAGTTAAGAAATCGGGAAGTAAGATTATGAATACATCAAAAGTATCTGTGGAATACACAGCATTTTCCTCCTCAGTGTAACCATACTCTAATGTATTTGAGTTCCTTTCCCGATATGAAAACCTGTTGCTTAATTTACTCTGCAAAGCAAGCCGTGTTTTCAAAATCTTACTTAGGGTGTTCTTTTTTTCCTGCAAATAATCTTGAGCTGCTCTTACTATCTGCTGGACAACTCCTGTAACCAGTAGCTGCACTGAAGGAGGATCCCAGGTCAGGAGGAGTCGGTGAAGCACACTCAAGAGTTCAACACCAAGGAGCTACAGTAAAACAAAACACATATAAAAAAATTAGTTAGGACTTAACAATTCCTAATTGTTATATCACTTGCTTATGATGAGGAAATACTTTTCTCACACAAAAATAATTACAGCTTTTGTAATCATCGCAGATGAAAGACCAACACCTAGAAAAAGCTGATTGTTACAACACGCTCATACAGTACCTGATCCTCTGCAATATGGATCCTGGCACAAGGGGAATCCAATAAAGTATGAAGTGCTTGTAAACAAGATGTAACATGCTCAACAGGCTCTTCAGGTCGTGGGGAACACAGAAACTGTATACTAACACCTGAAAAGAGCAATAATTAAGAAGAATATTCACATCATCATAAAATCAAGTTTTCTTTTTTTTAATTTATTTTTAAGTATAGCAGATTCTTAACAACTTTAGAAAGATACACGTTTTTCTCAATTCTTCTTCCTTTAAAGGAAAAGAGAGTTTATGTATTAGAAACAGAGTTGTATTCGCTTTCTCTTCCACATCATGTCTTCCCCAAAATTTGGCAGGAAAAATATTAAACAGCGACAGCAAGCAACTTACGATTACTAAATGGAAATCCACACTTCGTTCTAAAGATCTGTAAATCAGAATTCTGAATCCTTCAATTGTAAACTGAGTTTTATTTAATTTAACTCTTAAATTTAAAGATAACTGAGATGAAGTTAAGCCTCAGAAATCATCCAATATTCATATTATACATATGGCACTTAATTCTGGTTTTAAATATCTATATCTCAGCAAACTGTTGACATTCCTCAGAATAAGCAATCACATCCACCTCTTAAAGCTGTTAGATAACAACAAAGGGAAACAGTGAGTGCTACTCTCAGATGAAAAACTGATGCAAAAGCTACTCCATGTGACGTGACAAATATCCATCTCTATTGAACTGGGTTTTTATGAGGGTGTGTATTTCAATTAACCTTACAGCTTTTGTGTCTTTGAAGCATAATATTTTGTATCATCTGAATTATATTACAGTGTAGAACAGTTCCTACTCATTTTATTCAATTACATAAATAAACTAGATATACAACTTGTCTATAAAAATCACAATAAACACACCGACAAATGATCTGTCAAAGCTATGAAGAACACAGAAGGCAGAGAGATATGGAGAGGAGGAGTCAGAGGTACTTTGAAACATTACTGTCCAGACATGTGATGCATTTTAAACTTCCCAGATTTCAAGTCAAAGTATCTTTTCTTATTCCCATACCATTTCATACCATAATGCGCTGCTACTGAACTCTAAACTTATAACTCTTACCCAAAATTAAGTGCATTCGGTCTTTGTTTATCTCCGGCAAAGATTTAGCAGCAGGTGGAGTTCCAGGTGTCTGGTTTAACATAATGGCTGTAGCACGTTTCTGTGAATTGGGCATTGCTGCAGCAGTCTCTTCTGTTGACTCTGAAGCATTAAATCCTGTACTGTTTAGCCAAAGCGCTACTGCATGTAGTATGGGAGCCCAGGAGTTTCGGTAATGCAGTCTAGCTGTATCAATTGTTTCTGGAGTGTAAAATGCTCCCCCTGTTAAATTAGCAAAGCAAGGTAAATTCTGAAATTCTCTGCAAGTAATAGACAAAAAGCACATACTCTGTACATGTTTGATAATGTACATACTCAGATGTAATCCTTGTTAGTGACAGTGCATTCCAATTCTCCTTGTGAAGGAGCAACATTAGTACCTCTCACAAGACAGTGCAATGGCCACAGTGGAACAGTAAGCAGAGAGCAAGAAAGGTAGGCAAGGTCATCAGGTCTTGCAGCATTTTTCATATAGAAGATGCATTCTTAACTCAGTAAAATATTATAAGACAGTATCTGCTCTGATCTCAAGGGCTAATCTCAAGATGTTTTTCTTACAGTAAACATCTCTTTGCATTTGATATCGAAGTATTAGAGGTGTAGAAGTATTCTTAATTCTACAAAGACATCGTTTTTATCATCTCTGTGATTCAGATAAATAATATCTTCATTGCAGATTGAAGGAAAAAAGCACACGCAAACTTCAAACATACATTCTTATTACACATAGGCAGAAATTTATCACTTGCATAAAAAACATGCCTGCCAAATAATTTACAGAATTTTGAAGTCTCAACTAAGGGTTTCTTTCTGTTTTTCACAACACCACAAAAAGAAATTCCAGTGCTTACCATCTGGTGGAAGCTGGGTAGCAAATTCAGCTGGTAAAGTTAAAAGAGCATAATCTTTCAGTGCAGCTAACCAGAGACGGCTAAGTGCAGGCAGTTCAGGTTGTACAAGTGTTATCAAACTGTCTGGTGGCAACTCATCTACAGTACCAAAATCATCCTCATCCTCCTCTGTGCTCTTTGAAACACGCTTTGGTTTGGTCTCTGCTTCTTTCTTAATTTTCATGGCAACAACGTACACCTAGAAGAAAACCAGATACGAAAGTACACGCTGTGAGATCCTAAAAAGAAAAAAAAGCAGCAGTCCTTCCCATGTGAAAGTAACAGATTCCATACACAGATGACTCACTGGAAAATGACTGGGAAAAAGAGTATTGCAATACAATTACGTTTTATTTAAATATTTTTTCTTTTATTTCTACCAGTATATAACACTCAGGGGCATAAATGGCACTTTCCTAAAACAATCTGACTACACACTTTTTTCTAAAAAACATCAATTACTGCTGCTCTACACAGACATATTGATTTGAATAACTGATTTAATTAGATCAATGCATGCTTATTGCAAAGGTTTCTTCAACCTACATTAAGAACTACTACATAAATTAGAGTAATTGTCACTTTTGGGGAGCAGATTACTTGTCAAAGACATGAAAATGGCTTTAAATGTGTTACATGAATACAAGAACATTTATAGGTTTGTCTTTGATAGATGCTATGAAAGAATAAAAGGATTTTCAAAAACACAGATAAATATGGGAATAAGCAGAAATATCAGAAAAATACAGTAAAAATACGCATTTTTAGAAAAGAAATAGAAGTAAGTGTCTTCACACAACAGATGCTCCATATCAAAGCTGAAAATTACAGTATGGGGTGATTAACATTACACAGCTGAAATGTTAATACTTTCCTTTGTAATTTCAAAAGTAACTTCCAAGAAAATTTAATGAAAAGAAAAACCAAACCTTTAAGTACTACACTAACAGAAACCAAAATACCATTTGTGTAATTATATGCAGAGCTCTACAGCATGCAAATAACATTTTGGTAAGCAAGGCAATGTAAGTAGTGCTAACTGTTCTGTAAATAGTTGGAAGATTTCTCACATTCCAGCCATTCCCCAACAATATCTACATTAAGCCTGTAATTTATTACAAACACTTTGATAAACTCCTAGTTAATTAACTCCAATATTTTCTCAGAATATATTTTAATGTTGTTTGCATTTTGTTTTTTTAAGTTTAAGAGCAAAGATGGAAGGAAAATCAAAATCCGAGAGGGTATGATTGTATACTTTAATACAGAAAAGTGCAGTAAAACAAAGAACAATCAAGCCTCACTGTAAAAATGGATTGACAGAATGGCAGAAAAAGGAACAGAGAAAGATAGAGATATGAAAGCCTCACAGCAGTGGAATTGCAACAGGTAAGAAGGAGGGCAGGTGCAAGGCTCACTGGCTGAACAGCCAGTGAGGTATAAGGCTGCTATTACGCTGCAAAATCTTTTCAAACTTTTAAAGATTTAATGGTCAATGTTTACCTCAGCCCATGCTTTCAGAACTGCAAGTTTTTCCATAGTAGTTGCACTCTCTCGGTAAAGCTGGCTAGAAGATCCCTTTCCTGCTTGCACTTTATCCAGGGAAGAGACAAGAAGATTGTGAACTCGGCGGAGATCATTCAGGTCACTTACAACGCCACTTCCTATCCAAGCACTACATACCTAGACAACAAAGTTTAGAGTCATTCTAAACTAGCAAAAAACCCAACCACCTTATAAATGAAAAAAAATTCCAGCCCTCTAAGAAAACAGAACCCAAAACAACCACCACAAAAAACTTCGCAGCTCTTTTCCTGCTTAATATAAAAATTCCGAGGTTGTTCTTATTTTCTCCCTAGCCCTGATAACAGAATTACTTAGGTGAATGGTTACAAAGGCTGTATTTGCAAAGTATATTAAAATGGACCTTAGTAGACACATGGAAAATATTTAAAATAGTTTTTTAATCCTCCATAAATAAGTAATAATTTTTTTATTCTGTTCCCAAGTGTCTGGTCAAATCATTCAGGTAATGAGGTCATTGCATTTACTGTGAAGAATATATTGGACAGCAATCAATAAAAGTACACCTTTAAAAACCCACACCTCTCAAATTATGTACCAAGGCTCTATACTAAGGAGAAGCTTTCAAGATCGTTAATGTCAAGAAAACACCTAGAAATGAGTGAAATAAAAATCTTTAAGCAACTGGACTCTGATCTGGAACCAACAGTTCTAAATGTAGAACAATCAGTTGGAGACATGGTGGACAGACAGTTGGGTGTCTCCCCACTTTTCATTTGAATTAAATGGACCCAAACAGGTACTTAAAATACAAACATCATACAGAAGCTATTCCTGTCTAGTGCTATACATTGGCATTCATCCTCTGAAACACATTCACGCCCAGACATAACTCAGGCTATAAAAGAATTCTGGTGCAGCTGCTTTTCTACAAATAGGGACGAATTCTTTCAGAAGAGCTGCTTTGATTCTGGTGGCGATTCTACCAGGGTAAGGAACAGAAGCAAAAAAACCCCCACAGAACTCAAGCGGTTCAGGTTTTACAAACTCTTTTTTCATGGCATTTTTGTCCTATCTCCAATTTATTTATTTTGCTTTTAGAGAACCAGTTCCATGAAAAACTTTGGGGAAATGCCTCTCATGATCTGGAATGATGAATATATTTAAAGTAAACACAAACAAAAAAAGCATCCTGAAGATGCACAGGACAAGGCTGCTGAAAATCTGTCACAAATCCGTAATTCATTCACAGTAGGACTAAGACCAGCTTCACTCCTGCTGCTGGGCAAATCAACAGCTGTTTCAGTAATGACATAAAACTATAACAACACCAAACTCATTCAGTGCAGCTCATCTCTGTCCATGTAACTTCTAGAGAGTTAAATATCCAAACCTCATCTCTAACCATTTGGTCCTGTAAGTGCACACATCCACTTCGAAACTGGTTGAATAAGGAAGATTTTGACAAGTTATAAGGAATGTTACATGTTTTCACACAAAATGCCTCTTCATCCAGCTTTAAATGCACAGAGACGTTCTGTGAGGTAAGATGAACATATTCTTTCCTATGTATAGATACACTAAATTATGCCATATTTGATCTATCCTTACAAGTTTTGCTGGAAATTAGGAGTATGAAACACCACCACAAAATCACAGTCCTGCTGGACAAAGATTTACTAAACAAAACTCACATACACAAAGTTACTGTTTTAAAACTGATGTTTGCATAGCTAATTAAACTGCTGATTTAAACTACAGTAATTTAGCTGTGTAAACCACATACCAGATACTACTACAGCTATGTTGCTGATAGCTGTTTTAAACTACAGTAGCACAAGATCACACACAAAAAAAATCTTGCACTGAATTTTCACTGAGAGGTTGTTACTATGACTGTAATGAGAATACTCAGATCTTTTAAAATCTAAAATAAAGTATTAATCAGAATGGAAGTTTAGTGTTTAAAGGTAAGTTATCAGTAATCTGAATACTTGGTCAGACTGAGAGGCATCTCAATAAATATATTACTATTGGTCTCATTAAGCAAGGGTTTTTTTCTCTTTTTTTTTTCTTTTAGCAACAAATGCAGAATTGACATAATTACTGACATAATTAGTTTCAGAAAGACTAAGTATTTCCTGACATAGCTCCCTAAAAGGACTTCTGCACTTCTGAGGAACAAAATATGTTACTAGGAGACTAAAAGATGTTGCAAGAACATCACGGCTTAGGTTTACAAAATTTTCCAGCCATTTGCTACTACTTCTCTTTTGCACCCTTCTTCCAAAGAGAACGAAAATCAGTTTGTCTACTATCTGAACATTTTTCTCTGTACCTGGCAGGCCTTTGCAGTTATATCAGATGGTGTATCTTGGGAAAAAGCTGGCCTCAGAGCAGCTCCAACCTGTTGACAGGAAGAAAAATTAAAAAATCAACTAAAACAACAGTGACACAACATTCTTCATCTCACCTGTTTAAGGCTCAATCACATATACAGAACAAGCAAGCAAGATTGCCAATTCTGGCATTACAGTTACACCCCAAACTTATCCTTGCTGTCTCGCAGATATTTGCAATAGTATTCTTTAAACAAAAACAAAGTCCTAAACCAGTTTTTTCCTGCTTGCCCATTGCGTTTTTAAGCCTCAAGTACCTTTGTCAAATATGTGGTATTATCTTCCTTCTGTTAATGGATATTCTTTTATTCATTAAGGTATTACAGGTGCAATTTACACTAAGGCTCAAGAAGCCAATGACTTTTTGATATCCAAAAGGAATAATGATGTGAAATCAAATGTTTATGGTTGGATTTGCATCAAGTTCCCAAAATGACAAATACTAACAAAAAAACCTTTCAGGCAGTTGTTATAAGGCAGCATTTTTCTGAAACAAAATGAATGGAGTCAAAGAGACAAAAGCAATGGTTACAGCACCACAGAAGGAAAAAGAAAAAGGCAGGAAGTGAAAAGGATGAAAGCCTGCCTTTAAAAAGTATTTGCAGAGACCTTGAAGACACAGTGGAGACAAAAGAGGTGAAAGAGTTAAGCTATGCAACAAAATAAAGCAATAATACCCCAAAATAAATCTTCAACTGCCCACTTCCCATTCCTGTACTTTTGTAGCTTTCATTTAAAGAGAAGTATATTCATTAATTACCAAGAAAAGAGATTTATTAGATTCAGTCTGGAACTGAATCAGCGTTATTTTCCAATTCCTAATTCCAAAAATGAAATGCCACTCTTGCCAAAATTAAATGTAACTTGTAATATTTGGCTGTCAAGAATCAATAGCTACTGAATTTTTACTTAAGTCAGCTACTAAATTACAATAAATAGGAAGAGATACAAAAATAAATTTTGAAGAGGTAAATAAAAGTGCCTCTTCAGTACATTTTCACATACAAAAATCTCTTCACATGTATTCTGAAGTTATAAAATGTTCTCAAAGTTAAAACTGGCATATTGGCATAAATATACAATTTCCTGAACTTATAAAGGAGGTCTCACATTAGCCTGATACTGCTCCAGTATCACATGGCCTGGAAACTCTGGCTCAGGAACCAATGCAAATTTCTTGATAATGTCTTCAAGAGCTTGAAGACCCGCCATTCGTAACTGGTTGCTGTGATCAGTTGCAGCCATGAATGCCATTCGAATAAGGTCAGAGAGATGGAGTACTAAGAAGTCATCTTAGAACAAAACAGAAAGAACTATTTAGTGACTTAAAAGATAGCAAACATGATGGATATTTGTAACATTTTCCTCATTGACATGTACAAATTTTACCTAGTCTTTTTCAAAGGTCCACATTTAGGGTATGGAGGAAGGCAGGAAAGAATGTAACCTATTTTTCTTTCTTTTTTTTCCCACCCCTTAAAGTGATACAAGGGCTTCTATTCCTCAGACAACCTTAAAAATTAAGCACAAATTTGAAACAAAATTAAATATATGATATACAGAAGTTGCATTGAATAGAGTAGGTAAATGTGGCTGAATAGCTTAGAAGAGAACATTTAGTAAAGCTAATTTTAGTAATTCCCCCCCCCCCCAAACCTACAGAAAATCTTCAAGTCAATTCCTGTTTGAGTCCTATGCTTAGAGTGACCCCTGCTGATACAGGAAAACCTCGTCAAGTTTAAACACCGAAAAACCGACTGCCTCTAGTTCTGCTCCCAAAAGCCACATCCAAGGCTGTAAATGAGCAGCAGACAACATGCAGAAAAGAACAATATCTAACTCAGTAACAATTCTGAAAGGATTCTTCTTCTCTATTTATTCATTTTATTTCTTTCCTTACTCTCAATATAAAATTACCAGATGTTGTACAACTAATATGAAAATAAATTATTTAAAAACATAATATCCAAGGTGACTAACAAAACTCACAAATTATGAAAGCTCTACATATACTCAAGCCTCAAGGCAAAAAAGAAAAGTTTATTTTGTAGCTGAAACTTTTTGGAGGCATGTCAGTAAAGACAGACTGGAAATTACTTAAAAACTACGAAGTGGTAAAGTCTGCACTTACTTTTTCAGACCGTCGCAGCTGTTAGTAAAATTTAAATATTTTGGAAGTTGAAGTTGGGGGGTAGAAGGTTGCTGAGTTTTCCTTTTTACAATGATACCAAACACATCAAGTTCACTTTAAATAAATTCAGAGATGTAAATTCTCAGGATTATTATATGCAATCCTCTGCAGCATCCTATAAGCGGCAGTTATTTCATGATGTTCTCTATAACACAAGGCCATCTCAAAATAAACTTTCTCAAAACTCTTCCCTCTTAGTCTTCAAACAGTGACCTCAGCCTCAAATCAAGTCAGAAACAAGATCTCACAAAACCAATGCACAGCGCGGGAACCAGACTGCATCAAAGCAACACAAGGAAAGACTTGATAAATCTCCATATCGTAACAGACACCCTCAACAACACAGACACTAAAATCCATTAATCCCATGCATTCTAGGATGCTCATGATATTCATCCTACATGCACAGAGTCCTCATGAGCACTACATGGGTGAAAGCAAACAATCACTATGCACCATAAACAATACAAATGGGCAACTCAAGAACAGAAACCTCCCAACATCTGCTAAGGTTTTTTCACAAAACAACTATCTTATCTCCAACCTCTCAATTTTGATCCTCTAACTCATAAAAGTACCTTCAAAACATGAGCTTTAAAACTAATATTCATCACTCTCATGGATACCGAAAGAATGAACTTTATAAAGCAGCTGTGTCCATGTCTTATTATAACTCCCTCCCACACCCCTCTCTCCACAACCAATGCCACATCAGTAATTACCTGGCCTTATCTCTTTCTTTTTTCCTAGCATCCCTTCAGTCTGAAGATGCCAAAATAATCTCTGAAGTCTAATTCATTGCTATCATTATGTTAAACTCAGAAACTGTTCCCAGCTCACCCTTAGCTAGAAGATACTGCTTCTATTTCAGACTGGAGAAAAGGGTTGCAAATGTAAGGGGTTTTTTTCCCAAGCAGATCAGTCTGTCAGAATTTATATTCTCCAGCAAACCTCATTCTTTGTGTTCATAGTATGGTAACTACAGTGGTTATACAACTACAGTTTTATTGACTTTTGTGGGCCATTTCCTTTGTTTTTAACCATTCAAGTGAAAGGGTAACTGCTTATATTTTTTTCTTGGTTGTGTAATCTTAAGCTGTAAAGCTGTAAAAAGGTGTCAAAAATAAAATAAAAAATTAAAAACAAAACCAAAAAATGTACATTCTGTAATTACTTTTTGGGTTTTTAAGTCTGGCTGAACGAGCCAGTGCCAGATCAAAGTGCGCCTTGTTCGCATTCTCACACAGCATGATAACTCGGCACAGACAGTCTGCTGCAAACACACGAGTTGCCCAGCGAGGTGCTACAGAAGGCTTGGATTTATCCTCTTCGCCCAAGGTGGTAAACATTGTATCGTCGTCCATCTCATCCTTCTTCTCGGATTCTTCATCCTTCCCTCCGCCCAAGGGAGCAGCAGTGCTCATGTCTATAAGAGTGAACAATTAAAAAAAAAAAAATAATCCCACTTTTGCAATCCATAGAAGACAGCTAAGGACATATTCAAGCCTTTCCTTACACTCTGATTCAAAACAAACTGATACTTTTGTTGAAACAACAACATTTGAAAAATGTTGAAAGGCATAGGAATATCAGTAAACAAAATGTTTTTCACCTCTAATCTGGGCTATATTACCCTTTATTTAGCTTAAATTATATGAAATAAATTCCTGTACCGTTAATTCTCCACAGATACCAACTACAGCTGAATCCCATATCCAGACTTCTCAGCTGTGAAAATTAATCTATTAAATTGCCAATAAACAGGGTAAGGAGATTACCAGGCTCAGAACCAAAGAAAGCTTGGCTTTTAACTATTCAGCTCCTGTTTCAAGTAAAAGCTAGAGTGCATGTTAAACGAACAAAACTAAGAAGTTCCATGCCATGGGACAGATACACAACCAAGTTGGCAGTTTATGGCACCCACAAATGTGTTTAACGTTCAAGAAATTCTTTTCTCTAGGTGTGGCTGTGAGACTTCATTTCAGAAAATAAGATTACCTCAGGGATCACATTAAAAAAAAACCAAAATCCAAACAGGGACAAAACCCAGCTCATCAAACATGCATATACACTTCTACTATTCAAAAATGAGAACATAAAATCTCAATGACAAGGTCTAAATTACCAAAATGCCAAGATACTGACAAAAATTACTCTGGCAATAATTAGAGGAAAATGAGAAGAAGTTATTGCAAGGGTAACCTAACCCACCCCAACTAAGGCATGCTTCTTAGAAAGTCTAAATTTAAGCAGATGAAGAGCCAAGACATTCAATAAAGAAAGAGGCTATGGTAAATCAAACATGGATGACGTCAATTCACAAGAAGAGTGTTTTCAGAAGGCATCCAGGACCTTATGTGCTTAAAAAGCAAACCAGATTTTGTTCATATGCCAGTTAGTTGGATCAAAGGAGTTCAACATGAAGTTGCTGGCTTAAAATACAGCTGAGAGAAATTTATTTAAATATGGTTCTCTCAGAGTTTATTTCACCTACTAATAAATAAATAAGAGATTGGACAACCATGTTAAAAACTTTAAAACCCATCCCACATGAAATAAGAAAAGGACATGCCAACTTCAAACTCAGGAAACGAGGTCTTTCTCACTGGGCAGATATATGGTAACTACATTGCATAAAGAAATCATTGGTAGCATTACTCATCAGTAGACATAAAGCTGGCAACATTTAGAAAGAGCTTCAGGATGAACTCACAGTATGCCAATAAACAAGTATAAATGCAAGGGAAATGAGCAGAATCTGCATCACAACCATCCTATAAGCTGAAAAACAGGAATAAGGTCTCCGAGGACAAGATCTGTGCAAACAAGTCCGCAAAGCTGAACAACAAGCAAAAGTTTCATCACCATGGTAACCCATCATCACATCAGTAACTCACAAAACCTCATAAAAGAAAGGTCAGAGTGTGTACAGCACCCCTCTTTCTGTATGGTCCTGATGTATAAAGGCTAAAAAGAATATGAGTGCTTTCACTAAGATACTAAAATGTGAGAGTAATAATCACACTGCTTCTCTGCTGGAAATCCTACTTCAAGGCAGCTAACTTTCTAATCTTAAAAGCAATATTCTAAAACTTAACATAACATTGATGGTTTCTTCTTTCTAAGGAAGTTTTAATGCGCTATAATCAAAGTTCTATATATAATATAAGCTACATCTTCACTAGGATAAAAGACTAGCTCCAAACAAATATTGCCAGAAGATGCTAATCTAAGGACGTACTGTCGTTTATGTGAACACGATAGAACACTTACCACTGGAAGCTGCAAGGACATCCTTACAAAGCATTAGCCAGTGAGAAAGGTTTTCTACTGCCAGTGATGAAAGCATATGTCCCAGAGTATCGTGGATATCTGAGCACAACTTCCGATCAGTCTCCCGATCCAACATTCCAAAAAGGACACCTTCGAGGCCTGTCTCTGTTATATTAACCCCCTGATGCCGGGAATGAGCATCTCGCCGAGAACCAGCTCCTGGTGTGAAAGGATTAATATCTGCAAAGCAATAATGAGAAATCTTTTCTGAAACCACTAACTCAGTTTTAGAATTTGGAATAACAGACTAGAATTGGACATTGTGTATTTGTGTACAAACAGTTCAGGCAATGATACACCAAGATGTTACTGGATTTCTTCTGAATTAACACCAGAAAGATTTTAATACAGCAATTAATGTAATTTATTTTCTGCAAGGCAAGTAACACCTCCTAGTATTACTTCAAAAACAAACAAACAAACAAAAAAACCAACCCCAAACCAAACGTCTCTCTCTTCAAGGTACATACCCCATGAATTTGTAAAAACCCCTAATAGTACTGGACTCTAAAGAATCTTTCCAGAGACAGACTTAACTCGTGTGATTTAATACGAATAAGATCACGATTCTGTGTTTTTATGAAGACTGTGCTGATCAACACTGTTGAGACTCCCGTTTTCAGAATAAAATGATACATGTAAGAATTGAACCAACCAGCAAAGTCCACAGGCTTTGCAGACATGCTGCTAACAGAATATAACACAACCAGGTATCTCAATCAAAGAGCATACAATTAAGTTAATTTTCAAAAGAGCAAGACCTAAAGTACCAGAAAAACTGTAAAATGTTTCCGCTGCAGATACCCCGTGCTCCCTATCTGATTGCCAGTCTTAATGGGGCAGAGAATTTTAAGTCTGAACTTTACAAAAAGCTAAATGACAAGTGAAATTCAAGAGGTAAGCAGGTGTGTGGACAGAGGTTATTGGAGCTGGAAGGGACAGTTTTAGGATTTTTTTTCTGTTGTTGTTGGGGGGGCGTGGTTTTTTTTTCTCCCCCTCTCTGAAAGCAAACCACATATAAACACACATATGTGTGCTCAACTGTTACGAAAAGGCCACATGAAAGAAATACTTACTGATGCCACTGCTTTCTTTGTCTCCAGCATTTTTTGCTAAGCTCATGGCATATTCACATACTTCTGCTGCTTCCCTCTGAGCAAGCTGTCGTAAACATGCAACTGCAGCCCGGCGAAGCAGCAAGTGGGAACTGCACAAATGAACCTAAAATTCAGAACCATTACAGGTGAGTGAACTGCTGCACCCCCACATCAATAAATCAGCGCTGCTGAGGACTAACAGCATTCTACTTTTCAATTATATGCCCATGTGTGAGCTGCTGGGTACCAAGCTCTTTACAAGATCTTGAAAGTTCAGAAGCAAGCACTTTTTATAATGTAAGAATATGAAAATATACAGAGCTGACAGCTGTTATCTGGTTAAAGAGATAAGAGCTTAAATATTGCAACTATTGTGCCAGTGTGATTTAGACTAATTATACTTTCCAATCTGTGACACTCTTCAGTACTACTCAACCTCATATTCTGCTATAGCTGTAAATCACATTCTTTTAAACAAAAAGCCATCATCAGATGCACCACACATGACAGCTATCATAAAAACTTCTATTTCAAACTTGTAACAGAATTTATAGTGCAAGTTTTTATAAGTGCCTCTCAGTAAGACAGCTTGCTAACCAACACTGGCTTCTAACTCCTTTTGAATCACCTCAAGTACAAGCAAATATTTTTCTTATAGAAGAATTGTACATGGTCCCTATTTTCCTGAGAAGTAGCTGCACAGAGAACTGTATGTTTTTCCACAGTGGAAGAGAAGAGTGCTCTTTAAGGAACACTGATTCTTTATTTACCCTGGGGAATTTGTTTTTAATAAACCAAATACACATTTGCTTTCTTGGTATTAGGTTATTATGTGGATGGAAATTGCTTTCCTGAACGAAAGGGTTGTATAGTTTATAAAGCACTTTAACAGCAGATCTTTGTTCCACATATGCATATACAAGATTTTAGTCCTGAAAAAAACCCCAGACTTTAAAGAACTTCTAAATATCACAGTGAGGTTGTTTTAATGGAACTAAAATACATAACATTTGGGGGATTTAATTAATGGAAAGAGTATTCCCCGTTTTAAGTTACAAAGCAAACAACTAGTGGTTATGAAGGCAATGCAGGAAGAAGAAATGAAACTACATTGTGGAACTGGGTGGTTTGATTTTGATACGTGACATTAATTCATTAATTCCATTCAAAAGTGAGTTAGAAAGCAATGAAGAGTTTGCTAATGGGGCAGATAAGGCAGACCTTGCCTACAAATCTATGTATTTGCAGTATAAAAAAATACACAAGACAATTCAGAGGAAAACTCATCAAACTAAGTATGACTTGGAAATAAGGAATATGAAAAAAAGAGAAGGAAAATAGCTTTTGTTTAGCAGGGGACCATAAAGGAACAGGAAAGAGACAGCAGAAAACCCTGGGAAAAGTTTTCGAAATAGCACTAGTCATTCCTGTATGAACTTTATTGTCTGTAATATTAACCACTGGTACTTACAGAGTAAATGGCTATAGGGATTGTTTGTCATGTTGTACATTGTATTCATACAAAAGGGTCTACCTACTTTTGGGTACGTTGCACCCCTTTCATGCACAATTTTGTGAAAGGACAAGCGACAGATTCTGGGAACACACTGCAGTCTCAGGAGTGCTCCGCCAGGGGTGAGGAGCAAGGGTCAGTGTGGAGGGGGAAGCATGTAACAATGAGAGGATGCCCTAGGGAAAGTCTGGATTGCAGATTAAGAAAAAGGTCCAGTGTTGACATAAGTAGGATTGCACTCCTTCAGGTAACAGAGAACCACCAGTTCCACAAAGAACGACACAAAGAACTTTGCAAAACATGCAACAGACATTAGGGAGAAGCTTTTCAAATTTCTCAGTATCGAACTGCTGAACCCTCTAAAAAATAATTTTAAAAATAGTAATAATAGAACCCCCCCCAACCACCCACAGACAACACCTTTCCTCTTAGTCATATTTGGTATGTTTTGGGTTCCAGCCTCTGCCTCGCTTCCAGGCTTAAGCCAGGACTTGCTGACAGAACACTAATGGAGGGAGAAAGCAACGCTAACAGCAGCAGCACAAGAATTTGAATGTCAGCATCTACTATGCTGACAGTGGTAAAATAAATCCAGAATCTCCTGCCTTCCCCAACTCATTTCCTTCTGTGCATGCAATCAGTTGGAGGAAACAGAGCATTTCAGCATCTTTTTACTCAGTCATATTATATATAAATGCTTGCTCTCTTGTGCTCTCTAGGGTGAAAAGAGAATCAGACCCTATGACTACAATTTGGGCAGCATTCCAAAAAGATCTAAAATGGCTTGGGGACAGACGTCCTTTTATTGCACTCCAGTGTTTTTGCAAATGTGACTTGCTCATTACACATGGGTATCCTTGCTAAGTACTTGTCCTGTCCTCTGCTAAGCATGTACATAAAACTTTGAGGAACAAAAGGGATGCATTTTGTACTCACACAAAGACTGGGAACCAGACTGGACAGGTTGACATGCCGTGGTGCAAACATATGAAGCTGCTGGAGGCAGGATATGGCAGCTGCCTGAACAAGCGAGTCTGAATGGTCTTGTGTGATTGCACATCCCACCAAACAGGAAGAACGGATTGTTGAAATTGTAGCTCCGTTACCTAATGAGGTAATAAGATACCCTTAACACAGCAAAATCTTTGTATGACAACGGTAGGCTTTAAACCTTTGAGAAACAAGAATTCTTAATGCTTCAGAATTCACATACTAACATTCAACTTTTCTGAATTCCTACCGCAAATTAGTATCTACACAACTTCACAGAAACATTACAGTGTTCCAGTACCTCTTTTAGCTCAGTTAAACAATGTCCTGTCCAAATGAAATTTTCGATCAATGATCGTAAGTCAGAAATATTTTGAGAGTATCTTCCCAGGACATGAAACCACTAAAACTATCTGAGTTTAAATTTTCAAAGTCTCCTTCATTCTATACCTGTGGGCAACATTTCATGGACAGAACCATTTCCTAAAATATCAAATAACACTTAAGCTAGCATACACATATGCAGGTGGTTTTAGTTAGCTCCATTAGATGAGTTGCACCACACTAATAGGACAAGCATTCAAAAGAACAGTATTTAATTTGAAAAATAATCCCATTCTGTATTTTAAGAATTAAACTGCATCAGGTTTATAAAAAATCTTGAATTGCAGAAAAATGTAACCTGCAGAAGACATTCTATGTAAGTTGTTGTTTATTTAAAAAGTTAATGACACTCTAGATCAAAAGGTTAACACACAGCAAGCAGACACACAAGTTCAATTAAACCATCTAGAAATTTTTCATAACTAGAAACTTAAGTCTAGTTATTTAGAGTTAAAACTTCACTAGTGGCTGTCCTGCTGGCACTGCATCACAGACCATCCTATAAATATCACTAAAAATCCCAGTTAGACAAAGTTACAAATCTGTGGTTTTGCCATCTGAGACACAGAATTTTAGATACAGTGTTTGGCATGACAAGATCTTATTCTCTACAGTAGTAAGGTACAGTGATCTAAAAGTATGAAGAATGAGTGGCAATGAGTTATAGTTCACAGTATTATCAATTATGTCAAACTTAAGCTCTTGCCATCAGTTAAAAAATAAAATCACCACGTATTGAAAAAGTGGAGGAAAAATCTTGCCTCTTGCCCCACCTATACACAAAAATATACACAGCAAATTATGCAGCAAGAGTGTTTTTCATCTTTTACCTACCATGCAAATTTGCCATTAGCCAGAACACCATACATCACTGCAATTTCTTTATACAAATCTCAAACTGCAGACAAAAAAGCCCCCAAAAAGCCCCACAAGTAAGTTCAGAAGTGAGGTTGCTTGCAGGACTGTAACTGAGTTTGTCAACATCCCTCCCCTGCCTGCAACTGCAACAAACAAAAATGTATTTTCTTCCATTTAAGATTGCAATATATTATCTTTATACAAGTTAGATTTTTTTGTTTGCTCTTCAAATTCCCACTAACCTTGCAGCTCAGGCCCAACAGTAGTTATTATAGCTCCAAGACATCGGCCTAAGCATTGATGTACTTCCGTATGTGATGGTGGAACAGTTAAGAGCAGAGTAAGAACTAGAGAAAGCGTTGGCTCCACATAGCCACGGTACATTGGTCCACTAGAATCTACTATCAGGGCAAGTGAATGGAGAGACCAGGTCTATCAAAAAAACAAAGGAATATTTTTCAGTAATACATTCAGGAAATTTAAACAATTTTGTATGCAGACTGAGCCTAGATCTGTATGTCCTTGCTTAAACATGTCTAGTTAGCCACTCTGACTCCAGAAGTGTTTCAAGGGTCTCAGAATCTCAGGCAATCACCTGGGAGTTCAAATATCTCTAGCATACTCTTTGGCTATCGGCAGTTTTGGGGATAATGGAGATGCAGATGACAAAGAATTTGAGCAAAAAAATGGTTAGGCACTTTGAGGAAGAAGAATCCAAACACAAACACCACACCCACTTTATAAAAAAGGAAAAAAGAAGAGTGACTCTTAAGACAGGAGAAAGACAGAATCATTCCACTGTAAAACTGGATGTAGAGTCTGAAATGGGCAGGTGACAAAGTCCTTAGTGGGGAGTGCCTTTGACATTCCAGTAGAAACTGATTTTCAAGACAAGTTGAAAGGTCCACATGCATGTTCTAATTAATTTTCTTATTAGACGGTGCAAGAGAAGAAAGCAGTGATGTTCAAAGGCAGTGTACTACAGGATGAGAAAAAAAAAGGTGAAAGATCAACCTATTTCAGTTGCAAGATAAGTAAATAACAAAAGAGCAAAATAATTTATTGTAATTGTCAAAGCAAGAAGTGGGCAAGGGGACAGTCTTTTTGGTCACTGATGTTTTGTAGGAAATGAATTCCCCTGACAGACCTGAAAGCATTAGCTGTCTCTCCGTAATATCTTACTAAATTATCTTATTTCAGAATCTTCTTCCATTAAATGGAATTGCAATTGCACCAAAAAGACTAAGTTAAAAGAATATTATGGTTAAAAGCTAGACTCTTAGGAATGAGCTGGAAAACCTGCCTTTAAAACTGCTCTTTTTTAATCCTCTCTGATTCAACCCAAAAACATTAGCACTAGCAATCATGTAACTACTTCTACAGTCCTAACAACATGGTAGCACATTACAGCTTACCCTTTCATTCCTGCAAATTTCCGTTACTCGTATTCCCATACAGTTTTTGTGTATCCATACTGATCTGGTGAGGGATGAGGTTGCAAAGCTTAGCTTTTCACAGTGGCCTGGTGTTGTATTCTCAATAGAAAATAAGGTAGGTATGCAAGTTCCACCTGGCCTTCCCCTTTATACTTCATATTTTATTCATAGAGCAGCAACTCTTTCCATTTTGTTTTTTAACTGAATGTTACACAATTATATGCCTCAAAATTACTTAGTCATATGTGAAATAAGTTACACATGCAAACTGAACTTTGTCTTACCTTAAATCAACTAAGGAAATTTAAGAGACTTTGAATTGTATTTATAGATTATTATTTTTTAAACATTATCTCCAAACAAAACTAGGCTCTTTTTCTCAAGTGATAAGCTTGATTCTTTTATTATTTTTTATTGCCCTGAGGAAAAGAAATAAGAGGGTACTCTAGTACATGTTCTATCAAGGTAACAATTTAAACCAAGGCACAAATATGATTCTGTACAGTTACTGGGGCTTCAGCTTCTCAATCTGTGTGTATAAAGTGCCCCTACTCATGGGGGGCACACAACTTCCTGCTACTAAAAACATAATAGTCAGTCACTATTCCAGATAATTGTTTCCTTGCAGTAACTTGTGAAAAGAATGACAACAAATTACCTGTTATATCATGCAATTACACCATAATCTTTGAAGAACAGTAATTACAGACAAGACACTTGCTTTTACTCAAAAAAGGTTTGGTGTGTGTCCCCCGCCTTCTGAAGTAATTCTTTTATTCTAGTGCTTTGATAGATTTCATTGCTGGATTAAAAAAAAAAAAAACCCAGCACTTTTCCCTCTAATATTCAACTTCTTACTGTAAAGACAGATGTACTGGTCCATCTAGCCCTCTCTTCTCCTTACAGCAGCAGCCACAAACATGCTTAAGGGAGAGTAAAGACATACCAAGACAATCACGCCTCAAATTTCTCCTGGGAGAGTAAAGACAGCATATTCCCCCAAATTTCAAGTATTTTCAACTTAGGCAACTTTCTGAACTGTGCAGTGTGTATACATATTCAACTCTAAAGGCAACGCTCTTTCAGCAGCGTGTTTAGTCCCCTTTTTACCCTACCAGCAACTTTTAGCAGTCAAGTTGTCCTCATGAGACACGACATCTTTATAGTCCATAGTGGATAGAAACCCCTCCCCGCCTTTGCCTTGTCTTGGACTTGGCCCCTAACTGCAGCTTAGCTTGCAACACATTTTTGTTGGCATAATATAACCCCCCAAAGATGATGTACTGCCATACTGTGTTCACAGTATCGCATATACGGAAATTACTTGGCAAAGAAAACTACTGCTGATCGCCTGAAACTCCAGTAACTGATCACGTTAACCATTAGCCAGTTATTAAAAACTTTAGTTTAGGCAGCTAAGGTACAACTAACACACTGTGCTTTACAATTACAGTCAGTTAGGAATACGCCCACAGTGAATTATTCTGGCTCAGCTGACAAGCAGACACTTGTCCATCTGAATTAACGTGACCACTTCCAACTGCCTCCCTAACTAACAGTAAGGTTACATTTTAATTGCAGTACATATTTGGGATTCTGTATTGTAAGAGTTTAGAAGGAAAGTTCCGCTTTCTTCATGCTCCCTGGCACATCCTACATCCATATGATTTGGCTTACATGTGACAATCTCTATTAAAGAACATGCGAACAGGTAATTTAATTTTCAGTTTTTATCCTGAACATTTTAAAGTAGCTTTGTGGTGACTGTGTTTTTTACCTGGACTTCAGGAGATGTTCCATCTTGTGCCAAAGCCAAGAGAATACTGACACTAGTTTTCAGATGCTGTCCAGAACCTATTCCACCAACATACCGATGGAGACAGCCCAGAGCCAAAGAATGGCCCGTTCTTGATACAACATCTCGAGCAGATTTTAACCTATCAATGTTTAAATAAAAGGAAATCATGTAATTCACTAAGTTTGTTACAAAGAACCCTTCAAGTACCAGAACAGTTCAAATGACTTTGCAGGCCACCTTACAAGATCTTGAGAAGCCTTAACAACAAAAGCAAAAATAAGGTACTTAATCCATATTGCTATTAAACCAGATTACATATAAGGCAAGTGAAAAAAAGAAAAAAAGATATATTGGTTTTTTATTTAGTTGTTTTCTTTCTTCCTGGTCAGAACTTGACATTTTAGATGAAGAAGAGTTTTGGAAGTGAAAGAATATAGGAAAATTTTCTAGTGTTTACTCATCTTTCACAGCAGACTAATTTAATAATCAGAAAAGTCACTGCTAGACCACTGCAGTGCAAAGGAATCAAGAACGGAAAAATGACAACACATACTGAGAAATGACACAGAAATCCACAGCTATGTCTTCCACTGCAAAGTCAACTGAATAACTTTTTAATACAGCTGTTTTCTTCTACAGCTGAGTTCTATGAGTTTTCCAATAAAGCTTTTTTTTTTTAAAAGTGTTTTATTAATGAAACTAAACCACAATGAATAACATTCTGAATGACCTAGTTGTATGAAGTAGTGACTTGTTGAGTATTTGCCATAATACTTCTACTTCCAAATGCACATCACACAGTAACTTTTTAATTAAAACCTTTTCAGGGAGGTGGAGAAGAGAGAGAAAAGAAAGATCCTAATTCGTATATCAGAGGCAAGCATGCTCTTACCGATTAGTTAACAACAAAGTAAATGCAAATCTCAAATATAAAAAAAATTACTTAACAGATTGGCAACCATTAACAACTTGACTCCTAGGTAAGAAACCAAGGAAACAGTCCCAGTAATTGAAATTCAAGGAAAGACAGTAAAGATGATGTACTTTATTACAAGATGAAATGATGCGAAAAATTGAATTACCCAGAGGTAGGAGAGCTGGACTGAGGCTATGTGCATACAGCCTGGCCAGCCAAAAACATGGGCTGCAGCCCTGAGGCACATGCATTCTGATTCACAGACAGGCTGCTGTCTTAAATTTAAACCAAAAATTGGGAAACTGTTATATCTACCAGACATCTTTCTAAAGACCTGAGATTAACAACAGAATATGGAAAAAAATTACAGGCCAGTAGAGAAGTTAAATCAATATGTAAAGAGGATGTCTTGATGAAACAGAACCACTATCACACAATTCATATTACAGACATACTTAATGTAAGCTGCATTTATCTATCTGAAGCAGTTTAGTCACCTTCAAGTAACTCATCAAAAACTATTTATTGGTATCAGTTCACATTCCAAGTAGTTTAACAACTCAGCTTTTATTCCTGGAAGAATCACATAAAATAAATCAAAAAGAGAAGACTGAGAAGGTTTGTTAGATCTACATAATCACAGCAATCAACCATGAAGACAAGAGAATAATCAATATGGTATTTAGTAATCTTCCAAACTACGTTAAATTATATTTTTATTTCCTTTTCTGAATCAAAACCAACTTACTTATCAAAACTGTATTGAGCCATTCTAGCAATGAAAGAGGCTTCTCCAACCACTTGAGCCATTCTGCCAAGAGCTTCACCTGCTGCACATCTCAAAATAGGGTTAGGATTATCAAGGGCACCCATTACCAGCGTCAGAGCAGATTTGCGGACTTCTTCTGGTCCTAACGTGCTTTTATTCTCAGCTAAACCCTACATGAAAAAAAAGAAGAAAAAAACATTCCAAAGCAAGGGAGAAAGGGAAGACATAAGAGCAATTTTACTATATTTGAGATCTTCAATTAAAAATGATGTACTTTTGTTTAAATTTGTGGTCATTTATCCTAAAATATACTGGTTGAAAATATTTAAAACTCAAAATCAACAGCATACTCAGTCTTATGTTTGCCAACACTCTATGTCACATACAGGAAGACCTGTTGCACTAGTCTTTTTTATCAAATGCATTACAGTGCTACATGCACCCTAGTGCTACTGAATCTGAACTAGCTTTACACAGGATACCCCAGGAAAAAAGAGAAGCTTTAAAATCTAACGGCAACATCTCTTTATGTCAGACAGGAAAACCACAGCTGAGTTATGTTTCTGCAAGAATCACTTAATCAAAGACATTTTGGGTACATGAAAATATGTTTTTCTTAACAATCACTTCTTTGCAAACATTTACACAGCCTGTTAGATGGACATTCTACAGAACAGTAACACTAAACACAGCTTCTGCAGCTTCTTCGGTTCCAATATTTCATTAATAGGACATCACTTCTCGCTACAACTTTCAAGAAGCCTTTTACTTTGGAAAAAATTATCAGACACGTGAAGTACAAACACTGCATGTATTATAGAGGAAGAAGTTGATGGCTCTACCACAGATTCTCATTTTCTGTTCTGAAATCCTCATTTCAGCTCAATTTTGGCAATTCTTTGGCCATTTGGCATGGCATGGGAAATTCCAGGCATCGGTCTCAGAATCTACTTTTCAACTTGTAGCAATATGATTCACGTTTCTAAGAACAACGCAAGGAAGAGAGGTGCTGTTTTGCCCATCATCCAAGGACATGGAACCCTGGTAACAATTAGCTTGAACTAGGCAGCCATTTTTTGTATGGCAAAAGTCAGACAAGAAGAAACTCATCCAATCTTTAATTACAGGCTGGCAGTTCTACAAGGGTAGCTTCCTCAGTGCACAGGACTTACGTGCTCTGAAGAGGAACAAGGATGACAATGATAGCTGTTGTCCAATGGATTCATGAATTGGAAACTATACAAAACAGCATCAGGAAAAAAACTAGAAATGCCTTAAGAAATTTTACTAGTAGAAAGAAAATCCTATACTCTTAAGACACCATTCTAACAAAGCCATGAGGCAATGCAAGTCACTGAAACCAAGTATTTCTCAGGAATATTATTTGCTGTCTAGCTTCCTGACTTGATGGCATGAGGTTGGATTTCCAAGTGTAGATAGAGAACACAGAGCTGTAACTGAAGTCAGTGGGACTGGACATAAGCATCTAGAATTCTATGCAATACTAGAGAGTCTTAAGAAGGAAAAATTAAGACATCCAAAACAGAAACCCAAATCTGTTTTTATTTCCATGAACCTCATCTGTACAATACTCTATGACACATTTTTGAGTATATATGGCAAAGTACTTAAATCCATGAGTACAGTGCAAATAAAACTATATGATTGTAAAAGAAAAAAAAAGTCTGAATACTAATAGAATGCTGACTACATGAGCCTCATCTGTTCTCTGTACTGATACATGCAGACAAGAGCTCATGCTAGTATCTAAAAAATTTCAATTTTGTTAGTTTCAAACTTTTGAATGTTTAAGTGGTAACTTTAGTAATGTTGTTCTAACAGCCTTTTGTATTGAATACAAATCAATGAATCAAACTGATGAACTTTAGCATCCATTACAAGTTTGCAAGTTTTACCTTCAAGGCACTAAGAACAGCAGTAAAGATATTAAGTTGCACAGCTTGCTGGCGAACACCTTTAGCCTGCTTGACACATTCAGCGAAGTGATCCAACATCTGTAATCTAAAACAAAGGAAAGAATGCAATTTAAGTGATATTCTTTTGAAATACAAACTAAAACACAGCTGGTAAAAAAACGCACACAACAAGAAGGCCTTTTAAGTTCAGTCACAGAATTTATGTTTCAGGGGCTGCAGAAGGTATTCACTTTAGGTAGAAAGGGTAGAGTCACTCTGAAAGTCCCTCGGCTGGTTCTTTTAGCTCATCCACAAATGTTTACTATTCCCTTTGAAGAAAACACCACCAAGAGGAAGTGAGTCTTCAGATATATTTGGCTGTATAACTAGAAAGCTATTAGGACAAGAGTAGAAAAATACTGCCTCTCCACTACCATTCAAAATAGTGTTACCCTCCATATTCCATATCTGAAATGCGTCTTAGAGAAGCTTTCATTCTGTGCTCAGTGACAAATTAGCTAAACTGAATGACAAATGTAGTCCTGACAACTCATAACTCTGCAAAGGTAATGTGGAACACAAAGGAAAATAAGACGAATTCCATTCCCTCTTTCTCATCACACATAAAATCATTTGCTGAGTATAAACCAAACGGTCTTACTCGTGGAAGCCAAATGAAATTCAAAGGATGCCATTGCTAAGTTTTCAAGGCTGATTTGAAGTTAGTTGCAATGGATATTTTTGCAGGAAATTTTGGTTGCAGGAGACATTAGTATCGTTAAATACAGTAAGAGGAAAGAAGAATCTAGTCTCCACCTCTGAACCCTCATCTTCAAAATTGATAAAACTGAGGAAATCACCTTATTTCTGAACTGGGTACACACATTCTGGAATCGTGAGACACAAAGAACACCAAATACTGAACTTGGAATTTAAAAACACTTGATATCAAAGTAGATTCTTATTTCAAGAAAAAAAATCAAAACATAATACTAACCAGAGGACTCTGAAATTGAACACTGATATAAACTGACCTATGTTTGTAAGAGACATGAGGAAAAACCACACCAAAGAGAGCCACAGATGCATCGATGACAGATACTCCTAAAGGAAGGGGACCAGGTACAGCTTCACCAGCAGGGATGCGTAGATAAATAGAAGATGGATCATGTTCCAAAGCACCACTTCCAGATGCACTGTTTGGCTGAAGCTGCAAAATGCCACATAATATAAACACCTCTGCATATATGTTCACACAAAAAATTTGGAACTCAAGATAACCAAAACACTTAAGGAAGCATCTGTCCTGGTTTCAGCTGGGATAGAGTTAATTGTCTTCCTAGTAGCTGGTACAGTGCTATGTTTTTGAGTTAGGTATGAGAAGAATGTTGATAACACTGATGCAACAGTTGTTGCTCAGTAGTGTTTAGTCTAAAAGTCAAGGATTTTTCAGCTTCTCATGCCCAGCCAGCGAGAAAGCTGGAGGGGCACAAGAAGTTGGCACAGGACACAGCCAGGGCACCTGACCCAAACTGGCCAAAGGGGTATTCCATACCATGGGACATCACATCTAGTGTATAAACTGGGGGGGTGACGGTGGGGAATCGCCGCTCAGGGACTAACTGGGTGTCGATCGGCAGGTGGTGAGCAATTGCACTGCGCATCGTTTGTACATTCCAATCCTTCTATTATTGCTGTTGTAATTTTATTAGTGTTATCATTATTAGTTTCTTCTTTTCTGTTCTATTAAACTGTTCTTATCTCAACCCAGGAGTTTTACTTCTTTTCCCGATTTTCTCCCCCATCCCACTGGGTGGGGGGGAAGTGAGCGAGCGGCTGCGTGGTGCTTAGTTGCTGGCTGAGGTTAAACCATGACAGTATCTTAGAACAACAACAAAGCTTACAAACACCTGAATGCAACTATGGTGTCCCCATGCATATGCACACTAGCATTTACAGGGACAGCTAAATTCCCGAGGGCCAAAGCAGTTAACAGCTGGATAAATGCATAAACTATCACTCCTGGTAGTAAGAGATGGAAGTTAGAGAAAAGCAGATTAATTCTGGTACAAATAGTAGCTTCTCAATCACTGGCTACGAAGCGACATTTCAGAAAAAAGGTTATTCATTCACTCTCTGAGCATTGAGTTACAATAAAGTATACTAAACAATCAGTTTTGGCTGTAGTGATTTCCTACACAGAAAGATTTAGAAACAGTACTAAAATTACTAACATTCCTATCATCATGAAAATACTTCCTAACCATCACTCTTTCAGGAAACACAATTAAACAATCATCTATTTTCTCTGAAGAAAACTTATTTTCATAACTTGTTAATTATTTAATCATGAAATAAAATTAGAATTGAGTAGCTCTGTATTCTTAAAAGGCCAGAAAACAGAGAAAACATCTGTTGAAACCTCCATATCACTAAAAAATAAAATGTGACCAAGCACAAGAGAATCCTGTGATGCACTGCAGGGCCTCAGTTACCAACACTGGCACTTTTACAGGTTAGAGGTTAAACAAAGGGCGGGCTGGGGGGGAGGAAGGGGCATGGGGAGAGGCGTGTCCCAGAAAGCTCTGTGGATTGAAGACTGAACTGGAAGTCTACTATGTCCACCACAACAAACAAGGGAAGTTTATAAAATCCTTTTTTCACTTTGACATGCTGATCTTTCCTCTGAAACAACAGTTTCCCATTGGGTTCTCACACTTGGTATCAGTCTTGGGTTTTGGATCTGCTCAGTCAAGACAGCTGCCTTCTGAGAAACCTTGCCGTTATTAGATAGGCTGTGGCAAAGAGGCATTTTCAGCTCCCGCCTTCTTACACCAAGAAATTTCTCAGAAGCTATGTTGCAAAGTTTATGATGGTACAGTTCAGCAAGTGATCCTAACAGTCAGCTGTCTAGGGAATACAGTTCACTGGGAAATCAAAAATTAGAACAGAATTATGAAGACAGAAATAGGTTGGTGTGTATACCCAGATGGACAAACATTTTTTTCTCCATGTCATTAAATCCTGAAATATATGAGGGTAATAGGCTTGCAAAGAGGCAGCCAGCCCCTTCCTAGTCATCACAAATTAGGAAAGAAAAGAGAAGGGTATTAACAGATAGTTTCCTAAACTATTTAACATTAACAAATTGTTCCCTACGCTACATTTCTTCTGCAAGGGCCATATGAAAAATGATTAACTGGATCAACATTACCAGTTGATCTGAAAAATTTTATTAAGAGAGACCCCCCCACCCCAGCAATACTTGCTTGCTTTTTTAAATTTTTAATTCCTGTTTCAAAGATTCACCTTTTTTAGAAATGCAGCAAATTCCTTATAATGCCAACAAAGTTGTGTCAGCACTTCCAAATGAAATGTCGGATTGCATACTACACCTATAAAACCAGTTAAATCTTGTTTTGCTGTAACACCATTTGCAATACTGCTTTTTTTTTTACAGCAGTTTCATTATAAAACATTTTAAGTGGAACTTACATTACTCCTGGTTCAAAAAAAATATATAAGAGAACAACTGCTAGACTAGGAAGATCAGGGAGTGGGGGGTGGGAGGCAGGGAGTGTTGTTTTATTTTAAAGAAATTAGGTTAGTTCACTAACCACAACCATATGAGTAGGGTTATGCAATTTGTATCTCAGCTGTAGGCAGTTTTTAATCAAACCAGTACACTGTAGATAGAAGGACTTACATCTAACAAACCTCTGAAATAAGACTAAAAACAAGGCATGAAGCTTTAGTTTTAAAAGGCTTCCCCCCCCCCCCCCACATCACACAGACAGATAGTGCAGATAATTCATTATTCTTCTAGCTTTTTATTACCTGGTCTTCAATTGACTTATGATCTGTTTCCTGCAGCCAAGAGCCAAGAAGAACACTATCATCATAATGACAAAGAGATCTTAGGAGTGATGTGGTTGTATTAGCAGAGTTGTCTGTCAAAGTAAATTCTGCTACCAACTCTCGAAGAAGTGCATTAAATGATCCTGAAAGGATGGACATTAAAAAGAATCATTGCTGCTTCTTACCCAAAAGAGTTCAGCTAGCGACCAGAAGTTACAAATCAAAGCATAAACCATTACCTCGATTTTACACGTACCAAACAGAGAAGTAAACCTGACAAGACTAGAGTTGAGAGCAAGGCTTCAAACAAAACCCTGGGCTCCCAATTCCAAATCAGTGTTCTAAACAACAGACTGGGCCATCCCTTCCAGGATGACAATCCAGATTTTGCAAAATTTTGCTCATCCACATGATCATGTAAATGTAATGAATGAACAAAACCAAACAAAAACCAAAAAGCTAATCTGTCAGATCGTGTCAGGTCATGTGACAGTGCCTGGCAATTTAATAATAATAGCATAAATCTGTCTAATAGATCAGGTCAGGTTAAAAAAGAATAAAATACCAGCAACCAAAACTAAATCTTCATTCTCACATCTGCCCTTTGAGTACGCTAAGAAGTAATGTTCTCTATCTTTTAAGTAACAGTAACATAAACCACTTAAATTGGATTTCAGAACATGATCTCCATACCTCTCAATCCTATAAGTGGGACTCTAACTTTTGTACTCTAAGTGTTACTCTAATATTTATGCTCCGTAGTTCTACTGCCAAGACAACATACGGAAGATGAGGAATACAGTACAAGACTCTTGGAGATTCCTAGGATTCTAGTTTGAATCTTCTATCTGCTTCAAAGGCAAGCACCAAAAATACATCAAAAGGAGTAAGCAGAATTTTACTTTAATAAAAATTGTTAAAAATTTATGTACCTTCATATGTCTTCGGAGGTAATAAAGCCAATATATCATAAAGTCTTAAACGGACCATAGCTGCACTAGCTTTGAGATGAGCTCCATGGGCTTTAATTACTGATGGAATGCTATAGAATCAAAATAGAAAAAGAGATAGTCAGAAATATTGCAGCTACTGAAAAGAGTATTTTCAGATTTCTTTTCACAAGGTACGGCTCTAGCCAATACAAGAAAACAATGTTCAGAGAACTACTCTGAGCAAAACTACTCAATTATCAGTACATTTTCAGAGGTAATTGTTTGGAGCAAACTTTTTAAAAGAAAAAAAAAAACCCACCACAAAAAACCCCACACACTGCTGTAAATCAGAGACATGTACCTCCTGCTCAGAAACTCCTATTGTAATTCAGGCATTTGGGGGTGGGGGGCGGTGTAAACCAAACCACAAAACCGACCCCAAAACTGTGGTTTCTCTTTTATTCTGCAAAACTTTTAAAGCCTTTTCATTAGTACATTCCATAAAAGGAGAGTTTATTGATTAACATCTAGTATACCGATATCTTAGTCTTCTCATTTCTTGCACAAGGATAAGCAAACCACGAATTCAAAAGCTCACTGAACTGGAAATCCAAAACACAGTTAAAAGTTACCACGGTAGGCCCTTCAGCACAGGCTATGCCATAATATACTTTTACAAAGCTAATGACCATAAATACAATGCTCATATAAGTTTTTTTCAACATGGACAAGCAGCAACAGCACAGTACTAGGTCAGAATGCAAATTAAAACAAATTAGTTCTAGTATTTCAGGTCTAGGAAAAGACAGGAGTGAATAAAGAGCAAAAACTGCCTACTTACTGCGACATCATTGTCATGGCACATTCTATGGGTGTCATCAATTTCCTGATTACATCCTCAGTAAGGAGCTCAGGACAGTGAGCAACAAAACTTCTCATAGCTAATAACAAAATAGTTTAAATTAAAATTTTACTGAAACAAACAAGTATAAAGCATGAGCAAGATACAGATCCTAAGATAATATCAAAAAAGCAGCAACTAAAAATGTTTATTGAAAGACTGTGTGACATGTTCATAAAACCATATGCCAAAACCAGGTGACATTGATGAAAATCTGACACATTGTACTCATTTTCAAAGAAAGCAGGGAAGTTATGAGAGTTCTCTCTGTAATACTTGGGATCATGTTTTGGTTTACTGCACACTTGTAATGTTGAAGTTTGAAATTCTTACCGCACAGAGCTCCAGCGCGACCTTCCAGTGTTACTTGCCAGGTAAAAGAATCTCCTCTTGCCTTCTCTGCTTCCAACTCCTTCAGAGAACGTGGAAACACGTTTCGCCATAGCAATAACATCTTAGGCAGATGATACCGAACAACGGAAGGACCTATGCAAAAAACATAAAGTGACAGTATAATAAAAACTTGTATTTAACTAAGTGTGAAAAATCTGCCGTGAAGGCTTTTGGTCTTTAAGCTATTTTTCTCTTGTTTCACTTCCCTTCCTTTTCTCCCTACTTGAACAAAGAAAAACAAAGGAAATTCTTTCTTATTTGTAGGTTGAAAGTGTGACAAATAAATAGTATAGGTAAGTCTGTTTGTTGATATCAGTACTAAAAATAGGAAATAGGCAATTCTATACATTGTCATGTAATACGTAACCACTGCCAACTGTCTTTTTACTATCTTTTTATTCTGACTTCTAATTTTTTTATACTACTATTTTGAAGGCAAGCTCTTTAGCCTATCCTAACTTGTTCATAAAATGAGCATAAAAATAACTGACAGTTACTGATTATGTAACTAGTTTAATGGTCAAGTTTAAAGAAAACTTCTGAAAAAGTTCCAGAAGATCCAGGGCAACCACATTAAATATATATTGGAGAAGGACAACCAAAATAGGGCTACTCTGTTAGAAAAACATGACAATAAGCTGGCAAAAAAGACAGACAATTTAGAGAAGCAAGATGAAACAAAAAATGGTATTTGCTGAGAGATCAAAATACTGCAGAATGCATCAGAACTCTATCATATTTTCCGGTATAAAAAAAAACAAACCAAAAAACCCCACTAGTGCTGCAAAATTAAAGAGTATACCTAAAACTTTTCAAAATACAGCTTCTGATATTTCTTTGATAGCAGATATGAACATAAGGCTGGTTTTTTTTAAATACAACTGAATGGCATTTTAAACTGGTAACACTTCTAATCAGTACTGTTGCCTATCCAGAGGCACACATGCAACCTGTTGGAATGCTCGTTAAGTTTTATTTACAGTTCATTTCTTCTGCACCGCAGTATTCAGGAAGGAAGACTATGGGCAATTTTGCCCTTCTCACAGTATGACTAAAGGCTGGGTTTCTAAAAACAGAGCAGAATTTTTTTTTAGGTGTGACACCTTCTACTATCCTTCAGCTTACGTAAACACTAATATTTTACTTCTCCCCAGCATAAACAACAGTGCTGAAATAAATGCACTAACACTCCGTTTCCCTTGGCATAAATACTCTTGTGCTAGATACTGGACTGATTATATGTAGAGACCATTTGCCACGGTGGATAATCAGAAATGTTGGACAAGCAGTAAAATAAAACAAAAAGCAACTGTTCTTACAAACCTAAAGTCATAAGTGCTCCAAGTAAAAGCCATCCAGCTTGAGTTCGCTGCAAGGAGAGTCTGCTGTTTTGTGCAGCAGTTCGTAACAGATCCTCAGCAATACTGACCACCATCTGCACCAATGACAAAAACAAAAGGATTTTAAAAATATAACTTAAGCCACTGCAAGCTACTGCTACACATCCACCCTTACAGACTACATATAAACATGTTCTCAAATAATTTAAATTGACCTTCCATAAAGAATGAATGCACATTACATTTCATGCAGATGATTAGTGTTTTGTGTATGACAATACAGACAGTAATATTCTCTTCAGCAATTATTCATTAATATGCCAAAAAAGAATGCAAATTTGAAAGAAAGGGGAAAAAAAGCTGGTAAATATTGCAACTGAAATACTACAAACACATACTTTGGCCATTGTTCTCTTGCTAGGAACAAGTTCAATTTCAATAATGCTTTAACTTGTTACCATGTCACACACTTTGCAAAGCTATTACTTCTAGATAAAAAGGTACCTTTTAGTACACTCACAGCTGAAACTCATTATCTCACCTTTCCTTTGGCGTGAGGAATACCTAAGGGACACTGATGCACACCACCTAACAAAGCAGCCATTGCAAAACTGTAGCCACTAACAGCTTCAGGGGAGGTCTTCAGATTGTTGAGTCTTTCTGCACATCTATCTAAAAATGGAGTCAACTGAAAAGGCAATGCCACAGCTACACACCGCAAGCACCATGCGGCAGCAAGCCGAGCAGCCATGCTGGGATGAAGAAGAACTGAAGTTACTGTCTCCAACAGACCTACAGAAGAGAGAGTTTACAATCTTAAAGTTATGATGCGCTTTTTAATATACATAGACAAGTAAACTGAATCAATACTAGACAGGCAACATGAAAGTTAAGAAAGCTAGAATTAGAGTACTTGAATTTTATGACTTCGCCTTTTTCTTTAAGGAAAGACAGAAGTGTTATTAGCATTATGCTGCTCCACATCAGGTTTTACCAGCAAAGCTGGAGCTGCCAGAGACATAGCACTGACTTCTACTACTTGAACAACTGAAAAGAGGCAGTAACCCTATAAAGGGAACAGGTACTGGATGAGACGATTCCTACTCTGCCCATCTTTTACACAGATTGCCAATAACAGAGCAACAGTCAGACTGATCTTTGGTTTTGCTTCACATTGTAGACAAGCACATGCCGTAGATGTCACTGACCGCTGTACTCTGCTTTTGACACAGCGCTGTCTCCCCTGCACCAAGTTACCATACTTCTACACTTTCCAAACCGCCATGCCTAGCTAATCCTGCTTTCTAACTGTGAAGTCTTCAGTACAATCTGTCTCCACACCTACACCTTCCTTAGTCCAGATCTCTAACTTTGCAAACTCTTACTTCAAAGTCCCTACTGCTGCCTTATCTCTTGCTTTCTCTGTAGCTGGTAAACAACTTCTACCTGCTTACTTCACAGCAGCTAGCAAAAATAACACTGAGATATAGTGCACTCTGTTCTCATGGGGCACAGCAGTCAGAAGGTATAAATATGAGCACAGTCTTCCCTACCACATAGTTGGAGCAAAATCAGTACGAGAAGAATGTCATGTGCATCGTGACAACAATCTACATAATGAAATGTTTAAAGGAGCTTGCACTTCCATTGGAAAAAGCACAGGCATCCACAAACAGAAAAAAACTTCAAACTGCAACACTACAGTATAAATGTTGATTAAAACAAACAAGAGGAAAGTCCCACATAAACACCAGTCAACTTAAGCCAGATAACTAGCTTTTTATAATGTGACTATCCACAGCTTCATCTCGTCAAAATACTCTTAACCTCCCCACAGAAATTTGGTATCTGAATGCAATACAGCTTTCCAGGAACAAATATTTCAGACCTTATATAGCAAAACAATGTATTTCCTATAAAACCATTATCAGAAAAAAAAAAATCAATGCTAAAAATTACAACTTTACAACTTTAGTCACCCTAAAAAAGAGCTTCAGGCAGACTTTGATCAAAATAGTTGCTTAATACTTTGTCAAACTTGAACTAAAGTTAGCGTACTAAACACAATGAGCTGGACAAATGTAGCTACCTGGAGTACTACAGGGAGTGCCAGTTTCATCAATTTATTTCTTACATATTAATTTATTATTTAAATAGATTTAATGATATTTCATATTCATTGCTCAAATGTCTCATTTAATCTATCTAAATTTATTGCATACCAATAGAGGGTTCTTGAATAAGAGGAGATGCAGTGGCATTCAGGCTCTGAACCAGACTACCCAGTTCCTGGAGGGCACACACCATTACATGCTGGCTTGCAGCTACATCAGCAGCTCCTGATTTATTTTCACTGTTAGCATCATTCACAACTGCTTCTGCAGAAAAGGAAACAAAAAGTATCTTGAAGTATCTTGCTTACCTACCATTTGAATCACACCTTAACATAGTTTTGACATCAACCCTGTATTGAAACAAAACCACAAGCTTGGTCATAGTGTGAACTCACAAAGCAAACACATTCTGAAGAGAAATAGTTTTACAGCTGTCATGGTTTAACCCCTGCCAGCAACTAGGCACCATGCAGCTGCTCGCTCACTTCCTCCCCTCCCAGTGCGATGGGGAGAAGAATTTGGGGGGGGGTAAAGTAACTCATGGGTTGAGGTAAGAACAATTTAATAACTAAAATAAAATATAATACTAACAATAATAATATAATAATATGAATTGTAATGAAAAGGAATATAACAAAAAAAACCCCAAAACAACCAAGACAAAATGAGATGCACAATGCAATTGCTCACCACCTGCTGACCAATGCCCGAGCAGCAATCCACCCCTCCCAGCCAAGTCCCCCCAGTTTAGATACTGAGCATGACGTTCTATGTTATGGAATATCCCTTTGGCTAGTTCAGGTCAGCTGTCCTGGCTGTGCTCCCTCCCAGCTTCTTGTACACCTGCTTGCTGGCAGAGCATGGGAAACTGAAAAATCCTTAACTTAGGATAAGTGCTACTTAGCAACAACTAAAATATCAGTGTGCTATCAACATTATTCTCACATTAAATCTAAAACACAGCACTGTACCAGCTACTAAGCAGAAAATTACCTCTATCACAGCCGAAACCAGGACAACAGCTATCAGCCAAACACAATCATTCAAAGACCATGAAAAACAGATGCCCAGCAGTTACTATGGATGGCAATGCACTAAGAGGTAGGACTAATAGGATAACATAGCAAAAGCAAATGTACACATATACACTGTATTTTATCTATACACAGTAACTAAAAATATAATCTTGACATATCTGCATTCTGCATATAAATTTGCACACATATATATGGAACAAACAAACAAAAAACCGCAGACCTTTACTAAATAATTAATCACAACCTCTAATCACCTTAAAGTTACCCAATTAAGATCCTAGATCCCTCTGTATGTTCCTTCTCCTACACAGTAACCCAAAAGCAGCAACTGTCATTTCAAAGAAAAGGGACTTTAGTACCAGCTTAATGTTTATATGTCTACTACAGTACAAATTTAGAAAATTGTCCCCCTTACATGAAGGGAAGCAATCATCACCAATTAAAAATCCTTCGAATTTATTATCAAATTCATCAGAAATGCTCAATAAATGAAACAGTTCTTCCGAACATCCAAATACATAATGGAATTTCCTGCAGCTTTGACAAGGTGGCAGGAGGAAGAATTTCTGCAACTGTTTTATCTCAGAAGTAGCATTTCCAATAGACTTATTTTCCTGGAAGTAATACTTATTATAGTCAGAATGCTTTTAAGATTCCACACCTACCCTATCAAAAAATAGTTATGAGAAGAACCTGCAAAAGTTTCAAAATCAACTCCATTTCCATATGTTAAACATTACTTTAAACTCAAATTAGATGGCAGCAAAAAGGGAGAAGAAACAGATGTTTGGTAAATGCATTGTTGTGCAATTCCAGTTTACTTTCTCCATCTCCAGCTTGAATTAACTAATTTCCTAAGAAACAAATGCCAACACAGTTTTGTCAGTCCTCTTAGTGATTATATATTCTGCAAAGTCCTGCAAAGGGGGCCACATTTATCTTCTCTAATTCTAGTCTTCAGATTACATCTTTATTTGTCACCTGTAAAATCCAATTGGATATCAGTATGGGTATTAATGGGGGATACACAACTACAAGATCCTGATCTACACGATCGTCAACACTGGTAGTAAAGAACTCTGCGTGACTTTCAATATAATCTACCCCAAGATAGATTGCAAATGCACACTTTTTTCCCTACTTCCATTCTAAGCAAATGCAATGTCAAAAGCCATCACTGGATAACAAGCCAGTTTGACACAATCACTTTTCAAGTAGAACTTACATTTTGGATATCGTCTTTCAAACAGAAAGCAGCTGAATTTTCTTTTACCGTAACAACAAAATTATTCCTCACAGTAGAAGAAAGCTGAGAAACAGCTGACCCAGTATAATGACAGTAACTTTCAACTTGTCTCAAATAAAGAAAAACAGTTCTCACCCACTGCCTTCATTTGTTTACCAATAGCTTGACATATATCTTTCGCAGCTGCAATCTGTGCTTTCTCCCCAAGTAAGCTGCCCACAGTTGCTCTCAGGATAAAGGACACGCATCTTCGAGAGTAAACTGCTTCCACATGGGTCTGAGTTGCACGAGGATGGGAGACCAGATCAAGTACATGAGACAAAAACGTAGCAAAGTTGCGCTCCAACCACTGACCTCCTAATGTTGTAACAAAGACAACGTACGCCTGCAAATTCAGAAGTTACATACAGATCCAATTAAAACAGAAACAAAAGACTACGTGCAGTCACTGAAGACTAAAGACTACAGTTATACTAATGCATAATGCAGTACAGTAGCAATACCAGTTAGTAATAAGCAACCCTAACGAGGCTAAGCAGGATGAATCAATCCATTAGCCAAGTCTTTGTCGCTGAAGCTAAACTGTTTCCAGGGCCAAGAGTAGCTCCTGTACTACTACATATACTGTGAAGCACAAAATACTCTCGATGACAGCAAGAAAACCCAATCCATTGCTCTAAGTGTGTGTGTCTCTAAAAATTTTAAGAACATAATGTCAATAACAACAGCAACATGAATGTGTTCTAATTCACAATGAAGACCAGGCATTTTTGCCAAGTTCACCTGAAAAAGGCTGAGAAAAGTAAAAGGGTTGCACAAAAACCACGTTAAACCACGACAACTCTACAATCAAAAAATCTGGATTCTGGTGAGTTACTGCAGCATACTGAAATGTATGTCAGAGTGAGAATGCCGGAATTTGAAGAGATGCTGCTGCCACCTTTCTCTATCAGACAAGTGGAGCTCCACATACAGCAGATTTCACTTACTCAAGACAGACATATGGAGAGAAGAAAAATCAGGGCTGCAAACTTTATCCAGCAGCTGAAAAAAGAGCCAGCACACACTAAAGGACAACAGTGTGTCCTCTCTAAAAAGAAATAAAATTTAAATATGGAGCTAAAGTCTTTAGCATATTAAGTTTTCAAATATTTTTTCAAGTTAATCCCACCTAATATACACTGATCAAATAAGCTTTCCTTAGCACATATTTTAATCTATTGTTACTGCACATCAGTAACGGAAGTAGCTTAGGTGAATGACACTGCATGTACATTTCTCAAAACAGGCAAGTCAAACTAGACTTGTAAATTAACTCACAAACAAATAAAGAGCAGAAGTGTGTATTTTTCCTACTACAAAAGTTACAGTTATGTATAAATGTTACTTTATTTAAAAAAAAAAAACACATTACAGCTTATGACAAACCTGGGTAACACCAACTCGCACTTCCCTATTGACAGATCCTCCTACTTTTAACATCTCTCCACCACTCTTTAGAAAACCCGATCCTCCTCGCAGAAATCCTGTGGCCATGAGCTCCAAGACCTCCTCAAGTGTGGCTCTCTTCACATTCTGTCGCATCACTTTTGCAAAAGGAAAAGTAATCATTTAATCCCAAAGTTCCAACCAATACAAGCAATGATCATGAAACCAGACTTACAAGTTCAAAACTGTCTTGCAAACATAAATCTAGCCAACATTTCAGATAACATCTTGTTTTCATGCCTAAAAAATAAGCTACTTTTCCCAGGCGACTTTTGATAGTTTGATCGCTCTTTCTTTGTACAACTACAACAGGGATTCTGCACTCTTTTAGCTTACAGTTTATAAAACCAAACAATCCACCAACAAGCTTCTATCTACCAGAACAACAATGTATCGTGCAACACTCATGTAACACAGTAGTGAAGGTGCAATTTGTCTGCTTGGAAATAGAATCCAGAAGGACTTGTACCTGTTGCTTGTTTCGGTATCAGTGCTGTAGCCATGACCGTGCCCAAAAGCTTTGACACTGCAACTCGCACACCATAATTTGAGTTTTCCAGAGCTTTAAAGCACAGTGTTGCAACATTCTCTAGTTCAGCTGTCCACATAAACACTGCTTCATTCTGTAATTCCAGCAGACACTGTAGGAAAAAAAGACTTGCTGAGCAGCAACGGAGACCATTCTTACCTTTTATCTAAGTATCAGTGTAATTATCAGGTTTATTCAGCAAATACTTTAATATGAATATCTTAAGAGTTAATTTACACACACACACTCTCCCATTTACCCAATAACTTAGCTGAGTAAACAATCAGAAGACTCATGGAATAGGTTAAAACATAAATAAAAATTGAAAGAGAAAAGCACAACAAAAGAACTATGTTATCAAAATCCTCTCCCACTGAGGCTCACAGCTAACATGTTCCTATCCCGTATTTGTTTACAATTGGGGAAGACAGTATTACAGTACCTTCATTTACAGAAAATAAGTCAAATGTCTGAGTCTTTAGTGTAAACTAGTAAGGACTTACCTTGCCCAAGTAATTACCAAATTTCCTATCATAAACAACAGGTCACAGTTCAACTGCAGGTACTTCACAGTCACAGCACAAGAATTTCTAGGACTGGTGAGAAACACACCCACCTTAGCCACTGCGCATCGTACAGCCATAGATCTATCCGTCAACAGAGATCGGGCATTCTTATAAATATCACGGTGACAAGAAGCTGCTGCTCCTCCAAGTCCATTTAGGACTTTCCGTAAACTCATCAGAATTTCACTGCGGCCCTGAGACTGCACACACACAAAACACATTTATACAAAAATGTGGACACAGTACTTATATCAAGAACCAGGTGCATAATTCTGCATTTTCCTGCTTCCATGCAGGAATATTTTTTGAAACATTGATCATATAGGTCACTGAAGTCATATAAAACCAACACCTAGTTTGTTTTAGATAGCAGTAAGCACTATACACAGCTTTACTAAAACTGCCTCAGTTGTCACATAAATGAAGATGAGCCCAGGCAATCCAATAAATTGACCCTAGACAAGATGCTTGTCCTGCCTCACCATTTATCTGCTGCAGCCTTTGGGCAAAAAGGAAAAACAGTTGATGAGAGGGAACAGGAAGCCCAAGTAGTCAACAGCTTCCTACTATACCTGCACACAGGCTGGTACTTACAGTTGGAGGGCACACACACAAATAAAAAAAAAAAAAAAAAAAAAAAAAAAATAATCACACAGGTATGACAACACAGCCAAAGAAAACAGCTGCCAGGACAAGATCCACACAATCAGTACTCCTTCCAACTTGTCATAGATTTTATAAAACAAAAACAAACAAACAAAAATATCCCAGAGCTATTTACATCAAATCAGACCCACTGACAGCCCAGGACACATTCTCTCAGTATTATGACACACTCTTTTCAGGGCACAATGTATCCTGCCCACATGCAGAGTAACATCTTTGTTGAAAAACTTAAGTTGTTATTAATAATTTTTAAACAACTGAATTTAATTCAGGGTACCCGAGCAGAAATACTAACACAGTAGTTAGAAATGGTACATACAACCATTTTGCAATTTTAATTACTGATGCCGCTATGAAGCAACTAATATAATATTCATATGACAAAACTCTAAACTCTCTGCAGTAAAAATACATGCACATGTTTAGCTTGATACTAACTATGTAAGTGATTTGCATTTTTCTAGGTAGAAGGCTAAAAATCCAGGCATTTTGGCAAACACCTGTGGAGGAAGCAGGTTTCAGTTTAAATGGAATCGAGACCACATACACAAAATAATCTGAAACTTACCTCTGCACTCTTCAGAGACTTTAAAAGATTATTCACTGTTTCCGGAAAAGAACTACCCAGCATTCTGCCCATTTTTTCATAAAATGCTCCAACACATGCCACAGCAGCCCTATGAAACAAGACATAAATCTGTGTATCCTTCTTCTGTTATCTAAATGAAGACAAATACTTAAATAGAAATGTTATGTTTTAAACATCATTGATGAATAAAAATATTCATTATCAACTAGTTATACTGGCTGTTTAACACTGTGCATTTAAATCATTTTTTTGTTTACAAAAAAAAAAGTAACAGAAAAGTTACTAGCTTCTAAGAACACAAATGTATTTGAACAGGTATTATTACAGGATCTACATACAAAGTGGACAATTCCAGAGAAGATAAGTGTATGCTGAAGTCTCAGCAAGATTAGGGGTTTGTGTTTCAATAAACTGTCTCTTTCCCAAGCACGTGAAAGATAACCCTTATCCTTTAATATATCCTGACACATTTTTGTAGCTACTGAATGATGGTTTTCTTTTCAAGCCAAAGAACTTAAATTTTCTTGTGTTATGCAATAATTTATGTATTTTATAGGTGCTGTGAAAATCACTGGATCCATAAACAGTTATATACACGTTTTCCTTCTCTTACCATCTGAGATAAGGAATAGTTTAAGGAACGCTGTACTGCAGTTATATGCACAAATTGCTTCAGGACAGTCACAGAAGCAGCTTGTGAAAACTTGCACTTTTTCATCACAATGGAACAAAGCTTTTTTTAAAACCTGCAATTCTTGGGTAAATAACTTCTTAGCAAAGCTATTTGTTACAAACTCATTACAGCCTACCCCTTAATGGGCATGTCTCCTACACAATTCTTCTACAGAAACACCAAAAACTGAAGTTTGAAATCACACAGTAAAAAAAACTTTCTGGACTACCGCTTGAGTGAGCAGTATAAGTTTCAGGGCATGTTATACCACAAAACCCTTTCCACTTACACAAGTTCCTCACACAGTTGCAACAGCTTCAAATAAAAGGAGGACAGCATCTGCCCAAATGATGACTATTTCAGATTTTATTGTTAAATCCCATTGTTATGATAATGTCTGAAGGCAAGCCCAAATTGGGGTTCACTAGATACTGTGAACATATGAAGCAGTATGTGTGAGAAAGTAGTAAAAACAGTTTCAGCAGAAGCTATTTGTGGCATTAACCAAATTCCTACCAGTAAGACTGCTCCTATAAGTAAAGATGAACTGGATCAGATCACACACACATCCAAGTATACACACTCTGAATGACTTGTCCAGTATATCACAGTAGGGGAATATAAACAGGCTACATTTGATGGGGAAAAAAAACTTGAACATTTGGTTACAATTCTCTGGGCATAGATCATAGAATGGTTTGGGTTGGAAGGGAACTTAAAAGATCGTCTAGTTCCAACCCCCCTGCCATGGGTAGGGACACCTTCCACTAGACCAGGTTGCTCAAAGCCCCATCCAACCTCGCCTTGAACACTTCCAGGGAGGGGGCATCCACAACCTCTCTGGGCAACCTGTTCCAGTGTCTCACCACCCTCACAGTAAAGAACCTCTTGCTTACATCTAATCTAAATCTATCCTCTTTCAGTTTAAAGCCATTACTCCCCGTCCTATCACTACACTCCCTCATAAAGAGACCCTCTCCATCTTTCCTGTAGGCCCCCTTTAAGTACTGTAAGCCCGCCATAAGGTCTCTCTGGAGCCTTCTCTTCTCCAGGCTAAACAACCTCAACTCTCTCAGCCTGTCCTCACAGGGGAGGTGCTCCAGCCCCCTGATCATCTTCGTGGCCCTCCTCTGGACTCGCTGCAACAGGTCCATGTCTTTCTTACGCTGGGCGCCCCACAGCTGAACACAGTACTCCAAGTGGAGTCTCACAAGAGCAGAGTAGAGGGGCAGAATCACCTCCCTCAACCTGCTGGCCACACTTCTTTTGATGCAGCCCAGGACACGATTGGCCTTCTGGACTGTGAGCACACATTGGTGGCTCATTCTCAGTTTTTCATCCACTAACACCCCCAAGTCCTTCTCTGCAGGGCTGCTCTCAATCCACTCATCGCCCAGCCTGCATTTCTGCTTGGGATGATAGCTAATGCTCTTGTTTGACAATCTGCAGGTTCCATCTTAAATGGGGTACCTGAGCGCAACCAGCAATAATCCCACTGGTGGAATTTCTTCGTTGCATTACTTCATCAACTGTTATCCTTTCCATGATATAAGCATGTGAAGAAACATAAGATAATCCCTTGCCTAGAGGAAAGCATCTCACTTTCAGGTAGCCATGTACGCGTCTGTCACCTTTTGAGTCTTGCCCTCCACAATCTCAATCTTGCTCTTTTCTCTTGCTATATCAAGCACATGTAAACTGCACATAAGCATGCAAAATATAAGTAAACATAATGTGCACTTAGGCAGATTCTTCTGTACTATCTAGGACCACTTTGCTTAAAAATCATTCACCTTTCCCTAATAATAGTAAACATACAGTTTTGTGGGCAGGTAGGCTGCAGTATCATCTTTGCTCTTGATGATGTCATTACACTTGTCAAGCGTCTGAAAAACAGTAAATGTGTCTCCAATGCTGTAGAGAGCAGCAAGATTTTTTGCTAGTAGTTTTCGCGTAGGTGGCCCAGGGGAACTGTTGATCAGTCCTGTTAGCTGTTCTACAAGTTTCTTCTGTTTTTCCTTGACATCTGTCTGTTAATGGACCAAAAACAAATAAGAAAAGTCTTTAATCCCGTGTCTTGCCTCCAACACCCAGAAAAACCTACAAGAGATTGAAGTAAATCTTATATCACTCCCACTGGCATGTTATTCAGCAAATTGCTTATCTCACAGAGATTTGAGATACATTCAATAATAGCAGAGACAGATGCTAAATGCTCAGAATTAGCTGGCACCCTATTTAATTTTTACTTTTTAAAAAACACTTACTAAAAATACAGTAATACCTGCCTAGAACATCTTTTAATTCTCTTTACCATCAAGAATCCCTACACTGGGAGGGAAGGTTTTGCCTTCCAAATATTTATGACAATGAAGAACTCAAACCAAGCTACGTGTTATATAACTGAGTCACACTGACCGCCTACAATTAAATACTTAAAAGCTACAAACTAACACAGAGGCTCTTCAGGCTGAATCTGAAGTCATACTGTTATCACCTGGCCATTACCTCTTAACCCTCTGTAGCATGAAATTAATACAAATGTTTTAGAAATAAAGGAAAAACAACCATTAAATTACCTTGTTAGCAGCTACCAGCACTTTATCCAAAAATCTTAACCACTCAAAGATAAAGACTGGTCTCTTTGCTTCTGTGATTTGAGCTAATGCTTCCTCGTTCAGTAACAAACTATGAGCCAGCTCCATACCTGGTTAAATTCTGGTTTTATTGTAAATTCCTGAAGCAACTCTAAAATAAAAATGTAAGTATTAGTATAAAGTATAGTATAATAGTACAAAGCTTTGAAAATCAAATGAAAATATGAAGATGAAATCTATAGATTACAGTATCACGGTTCCAGCCTGCTTAGACTTGTCAGCTAAGCAGTCCCACATAAAAACTACTCACATATTTACAACTGAGTACATCTGTCAGTATTTCAGGGAACAAAGGTGTTAATTGTAAAAAGAGCACCTACAGGCAACTTCAGGGTGCTATAAGTCCCTGTTTAAAGAAAAAAAAAAGCCACACAAAAGAGGTAAAGGAGTCATTTCACCGTCTCCTCTTACATAAAACAGAATAAGGATTGTCCCTAATCAAGACCCTTGACCACACTCCCAAAGCTGGGTCACAAACGCAGCCACATTCTCAACACCTTGAACAGACAAGGTGGAAGGAGATGACCCTATCACAAGCAGGAATTTCCACTCATTACATATTCGAAAGAGGCAGGAACAGTGACAGCATTTGGCATCACTGACGTAAGACTTCCCAGATCCCACTAGCCTTGCTTGAAGCACTGGACAAATAAGCCCTCTGAAACCCAGCAAGCCTTATGTGTGACAGCCTGGAATACAAGCAGCAACAAAATGACTGCAAGTCTCCCCAAGAGGCAAAACACTACACACCAAACACTGGAGATCCTGCTCAAACAGCGAATGGGGGGTAGCAACAAAGCACTACCAAAAGCACACTATCAGTGTAAGCAAACACTCTGCAGACAACTTAACCTTAGCAAACCACGTTTAAACAAAGTGTAGCTGCTTAATGCAGAACAGACAGAAAAAAACAAAACTTATCTAAAAATCACAAAATTAAGTCAACCATCTTCAGCAAAAAGAAACCCAAAAAGTGAACAAACCCAACCCAAAACCTGAATGCAGTGATGCTGAAACTAGGATCTCAGGCGGAAAAGAAAAAGTAAAGCAACTAAGGAGTATTATGTAAGACATCATCTTTTGACAGCTGCACAGTTCCACTCATGCTCTCAAGTGCTCACAGCTGCTTCCTCATTCATGGACAAATCCAACCAATTCTTGAAGTCAAATGAAATGATTTAAATTAAATAATTTAAATTTTTTTAATAGTCCCCAGATTAGACAGTAGTAAAGAGTGACATATTAATACTACAACTGTATTACGGTTCTAAATTCACCTTAATGATTTGGTGCTGATGAAACTGAAGCATCACAATGTCTGTAATACTAAGCTTGCTCCCTGCTCTTTGGTACTTTGCATTAAAGTATTTTTCACTGCATATGTCTCCAGTGACAGATCAGCAAAGGTGGAAGAGCTACATATGGAAGCACATACAGCCCTCCCCCGACACCTCCAAAGACATCTTCTGGCACTTTTTTTCTTTAAGTTATAAATAATTGAGGAGGTATTGCCTGCCACTAATGCACAGACATATCACCTCAAAACACCTTTACATGAGAGCAGAGAGAAATGCAATGAATGACAGCACTATGATTCTTTGGATCTCATCCCAGAGGTCTACACTGCTTGTCACACCCCCACAGCACAGGAGTACCATATGACAGCACAGCTGATTACTCCTTTTCCTCCTCAGATAAAAGTTTTAATTTTCCCCTGGCCTTTAGAGCCATGAATCCCCTTATACGCTTTCCACACACTCCCTTACCTCTTCATCTAAATTTAGGAAACACAATCTCTGAGCAACCAGATCTGCACATACGTTCAGCTGTGAGGGATTGGATACAATTACAGGAATATTCAGATAACTGAAGACTCAATCTAACATACAGCTGTGCAGGCAGGCAATCCAAAGCTCACCTACATCGGCCAAAGGTTTGCTCCAAAATTCAGTGAAAAAACTACCAAGTTCTACTGATTCTGGTGAGGGCTGGGTCTTACTGTGCAAGTTACATGTAATAAATACCCTGTTATCTCCCACAGGATGCAGAGCAAAAGCCTACCAAAGTCAACTAGCATCCAGTACATTATGATGAAGCATTACAGAGATTATAAAACGTTCCGATGTACTAGAGTTCCTTTCTATTCTCCAGCTATTTTTCTGTATCTAAATCAACTATTTAGATCTTCAGCACGCACGCGCTTCGCTGGGCTAACTGAGAAAGCTGAAAAAAGGACAGGTTTAGGAGAAGTAACATCCTCCTGAAGAACCACATCAGGTGAAAAGGCTTTTGTGCCTGGGTCCTTCTACCCGTACCGGTGACTTTAACAAGCTGCAGCACCCCCCCCGCGCATCTTGCCTGATTCAAAAACCCCTCAGGAAGTCATCCCCCAAGACCGCATTACAGCGCTAGCTATACCCCAATTCCTCAGCAAAGGAAGAACGCTAAGGAACAGCCAGAGGCGTGCTACCTTCCGTACACAGACACACAGCCCCCTCCAGGTGTGCACACACGCGTACCCCGCACGCACACGCCGCCGCCTCTCCGCTCGGGGCAGCCGGAGGCAGCGGCACCGAGCC